CCGCGAGTTCGTGAAAGCAAGACTGAAAACTTTCTGCGAGGAAGAGGTGGATGTGCCTCTAGTGTTATTCAACGATGTATTGGAGCATGCGCTACGTATTGATCGTGTGTTCCGACAACCTCAAGGCCATCTTATCCTCATTGGTGTGAGTGGAAGTGGTAAGACGACATTGTCTCGCTTTGTTGCCTGGATGAACGGCCTCAAAGTATTCCAAATCAAGGTACACGGCAAGTACTCAGCGGAAGACTTTGATGAGGACCTTAGAAGTGTGCTTCGCAGAGCTGGCTGTAAAGGAGAGAAAATTTGCTTTATCATGGACGAGTCAAACGTCCTAGATTCAGGCTTTTTGGAACGCATGAATACACTTCTCGCTAACGCCGAAGTTCCTGGTCTCTTTGAGGGAGACGAATTTGCATCATTAATGACTGCTTGCAAAGAAGGAGCTCAACGACAAGGCCTTCTTCTGGACTCGCAAGAAGAGCTTTACAAGTGGTTCACCCAGCAAATCGTCAAAAATCTCCATGTTGTGTTCACCATGAACCCTCCAGAAGACGGGTTATCCTCCAAAGCTGCCACTAGTCCAGCACTTTTCAATCGCTGCGTACTCAACTGGCTTGGTGATTGGTCTGATCAGGCTCTATACCAGGTTGGCTATGAACTTACACAATCCGTCGATCTCGATAAACCAAATTTCATTGCCCCGGATAGTATTCCTGTAGCTTATCGAGCTCTCTCCCTCCCGGCGTCTCATCGTGATACCGTCGTTAACTCGATGGTTTATATTCACTATTCCTTGCATCGGTTTAACCAACGCCTGCACAAGCAACAGGGCAAAACTACATATCTCACGCCTCGACATTATCTAGATTTCGTTGCGCAGTACGTCCGGCTCTTTAATGAGAAACGCGAAGACCTAGAGGAACAGCAACGCCATCTCAATGTTGGCTTGGAGAAACTCAGGGAGACCGTCGACAAAGTCAGGGACTTGAGAGCAAGTCTAGCCCAAAAGAAGAGTCAACTTGAGAAGAAAGATGCAGAAGCCAACGAAAAACTACAACGAATGGTGGCCGATCAACGGGAGGCGGAACAGCGTAAATCCGCTTCGCTCGAAATTCAAGCAGCACTCGAAAAGCAAGAGCAAGAAGTTGCCAAACGAAAAGAGATTGTACTCCACGATCTTGCAAGAGCCGAGCCCGCCGTCATTGAAGCCCAGAAAAGTGTTAGCAATATCAAGAAACAACATCTTACAGAAGTTCGTTCTATGGCGAACCCCCCTGCGGGCGTTCGTCTTGCTTTGGAATCCGTGTGCACGCTTCTCGGTCACAGAGTGGACAGCTGGAAAACCATACAAGGTATTATTCGCAGAGATGACTTTATTGCCAGCATTGTCAATTATGATAATGAAAGGCAGATGACCCGCGGCCTTAGAACCAGGATGAACAACGACTACTTGTCGAAGGAAGATTTCACTTTCGAAAGAGTTAACCGTGCTAGTAAAGCCTGCGGCCCGCTCGTTCAGTGGGTGGAAGCGCAGGTTAATTATTCTGAGATCCTAGATCGAGTAGGCCCGCTCCGCGAAGAGGTCATTCAGTTAGAAGACCAGGCACTCCAGACAAAAGCCGAAGCACAGGCTATTGAGAACACGATCAACAACCTTGAGGATAGCATTGCAACATACAAAGCCGAATACGCAGCTCTTATCAGTGAAACTCAGGCAATCAAAGCAGAAATGTCAAGAGTGGAGTTTAAAGTTGATAGAAGCGTTCGTTTGCTTGACAGCTTATCCTCCGAACGTTCTCGATGGGAGGAGGGAAGCAAATCTTTCGAAACCCAAATTTCTACTTTAGTGGGAGACGTTCTTATTGCGGCCGCTTTCCTTGCATACGGTGGGCTGTACGATCAGCAGTTCCGCAAGGCCATGATTGATGACTGGGTAAATCAACTAGCACAATCCGGTATCAACTTCAAACCACACAATCCAATCACGGAATATCTCTCCAACGCAGATGAAAGGCTATCTTGGCAGGAGAACTCTCTTCCCGTCGACGACTTGTGTACGGAGAACGCAATCATTCTCAAGCGGTTCAATAGATATCCTCTCATTATTGACCCGTCCGGTCGAGTTACCGAATTTTTACAGAAGGAGAGCAAAGAACGAAAACTAACTGTCACAAGTTTCCTGGATGACTCGTTCATCAAACAACTTGAGAGTGCACTACGATTTGGCAATCCCATCCTCATCCAGGACGCTGAACACTTGGACCCGATCCTCAATCATGTTCTCAATAAAGAGTACCAGAAGACCGGTGGTCGTGTCCTCATCCAACTTGGAAAGCAAGAAATTGACTTCTCGCCGGCATTCAAACTCTTTTTGTCGACACGAGACCCATCTGCCTGCTTCCCTCCTGATGTATGCAGCAGAACCACATTTGTCAACTTCACGGTCACCCAAAGCAGCTTGCAAACTCAGTCTCTCAATGAAGTGCTCAAAGTAGAGCGTCCTGACGTCGATGAGCGGAGAACGAACCTTATCAAGCTCCAAGGCGAATTTAAGATCCATCTTCGTCAGCTAGAAAAACGGCTTCTTCAAGCACTTAATGAGTCCCGCGGTAACATTCTAGACGATGATAACGTTATCGAAACACTTGAAACGCTAAAGAAGGAGGCAGCCGAGATTTCGAACAAGATGGTGGAGACAGAGGGTGTGATGACAGAAGTCGAGAATATTACGCAGCAATACAATGTCATTGCCAGATCATGCAGTGCTGTCTTCGCTGTTCTCGAACAGCTTCACCACCTCAACCATTTTTACCAGTTCTCTCTCCAATACTTTATCGATATCTTTAACAATGTCCTGCACAATAATCATCGTTTATCCCAGGAGAAGGATCATGCCGCCAGAGTCAATATTATTCTACGTGATCTTTTCATCACTGCATTCCAGCGAACATCTCTTGGCCTGCTTCAGAAGGATAGAATAACTCTAGCTATGCTCCTAGCACAGGCATCTCCATATCAGATGGACAGGAGCATTATTGACGACATTCTCGACCCGACTTTGGAAGGATGGGATGTCTCAACGGCTCCTAAAGCAAAGGATATCGTCATGTCCAAGGCTTCCCAAATGGTTGTTTTCAAGAACATCATTCCAACTATTGAGGAAGAAATCTGGGAACAGTTCTTCACTGAAGAAATTGCAGAAAATTTCGTCCCCTCTGTCTGGGAGGATAGCACGGAGGCTTTTGATCGGCAACTTCGCTCCCTCCTGCTTGTGAAGCTCTTCCGAATGGACAGGTTTGTCCCTGCTGCGGAAAATTTTGTCGTAACAGTATTTGGACGATCGCTATTTGAAGACAGTGGAGATCTCAAGGAAGTCGTTGACCAAGTAACAGCCACCACTCCGATTGCGCTCAGTTCCAGCCCCGGATTTGACGCTAGTTACAAAGTCGATGGACTTGTCGAGCGAATGCATGCCACTTGCGCCAATATCGCCATGGGATCTAACGAAGGCCTCGAGAGCGCAGACAAGGCAATCAACAATGCGGCCGCAACCGGAACTTGGGTCTTGGTCAAGAACGTTCACCTCGCACCATCTTGGCTGCAAAGTTTAGAGAAACGACTCGATTCACTCAAGCCGCATGCTAACTTTAGACTCTTCCTTTCGATGGAATCGAGTCCGAAGATCCCCGTAAATCTGATCCGAGCTTCAAGAGTCCTGATGTACGAACAACCCGCTGGAATCCGTGCCAACATGAAGGATTCCCTCTCTTCTTTGAGCTTGAGGGCGAGCAAACCACCCGTTGAGAAGGCTCGTATCTACCTTTTGCTATCGTTCTTACATGCTGTTGTCCAGGAGAGACTACGATATGCGCCAAGTTTGGGATGGAAAGGCTTCTGGGAGTTCAATGACAGCGACGTAAGTAGTGTTTCGTTTGTATTGCTTGAGATTTTATGCTGACGTATTATGCCTTTGTAGTACGAGTGCTGCGCCTTCATCATCGACACCTGGGTGGCGTCAGTGGCTCAGGGCAGATCCAACGTTGCACCGCAAAAGTTCCCTTGGGACTTGCTTCGCACGCTAATCACTGAAACGTATGGTGGGAAGATAGACGATGCTGAAGACTTGAAGCTGCTAAATGATCTTGTGCGAACGTTTATGACACCAGCAGCGTTCGAGGACGATCATAAATTGATTCCGGGCATCGAAGACGAAATTTTACTGCTGCCCTCGACAACCGGTATCCGCGATTTCAACGAGTGGGTGAACCGGCTGCCGGAGCGAGAACCACCTACGTATCTGGGACTCCCTGGCAATGCCGAGAAGTTACTTTTGGTTGGTCATGGCAAACGCATGATTGCCAACCTAGCCAAGATTACGACGTTGTTGGATGAAGGAGAACAACTGATGATCGAAGCGGCTGCGATCTAGCAGGGTGAAAGCGCAGCGTGATCGCAATTGAAACGGGCACACTCGGCGACTATTGTCTCTCGTACCATTTTCACTTTCTTCCTTTTTTTCGGGTCTGGGTTCATGGGTAATGGAACTAAGGGATTTGGAAGCTTTAATCCGCTCGTTTTCTTTTCGTTTTCGCCAACATTTTGGAGGCGTTCCGGTTGCATTTTTGATTGCCCATCATCTCGTCCTGGTTTGGTGGATACCCGCGAGTTACTTGCTGTTGACATTTATCAGCTCCATCGAGAGTATTTTCCTTGGTGCACTGGTCTTCTAGTCTCCATTTTCCCCTTAATTTGTGTCCATTGCCCTTTTGTCTACTTCTCGCCTGTTGTTATATCCTGAACTACATTTCCATCTCCTTCGTCGACTTGTGTTTTTAGCTAAATGGTTAGATTTGACTTTACTTCAAGATTTGTATTAGTTGGGAACGACTGTGTAGAGTTAATATAAACATTTTTTTGCCGGAAGTTTTTGACTCCTGCTGCGGAAATATCCAGTCGATAAGAGTGCTGCTCTCAACGTTCTTGCGGGGGAGCCCCTTGTTTTAAAACTCTGCGGGAAGCCTGGGATTGGGGTCAGACATCAATCCGAAACAGCGGAGGCCCGCCGAACGTCTTCGCCCTTCCCTTGTCACAGGATGGTTGAAGATCAGAGATCGCTTGAGGCTAATCCCCATCGCCGGATCCAGTGAGCCCGACAGCGATGAACGGGTGCCGCAGAGGTGGCCGCCGGACTCTGCCAATGGAGCCAAAGAGGAGACAAGGAGCTGCTGATCCCTTGGCGGCGTGACGCAAGCTCCAGCGGTTGCGGATTGTGTTTTCTTGCATTCTCGCCCTCTTGGCCCCGTTTGGGGCTTTGTTTCAGCTCGCTGTCGAGGCGTCTCTTTGGTGAACCTTCTCGTTTGGCCCCGGACTTTCTTTTTTGCCGTACGTCAACGAAGCAATGAGCGATGGTGATTGGAACCCGTCCCGCAGCTGGAGGGCGGGGAAGAGTGGAAAAGGGCAGACTCGACTCGGGATATCCTCAGGGCTGATTTTCCCCCTCCCCTCCACGGAGGTTCTTCTTTTTATGTAAAAAGAGGGCCAGGTTTTGACTGGGTTGGGGTGATTTTTTCCGTTTTTCATTTTTATTTTTATTTTGTTACGGCTTTTCTTTGTGGGCTATCATTTTGGTTACTTATCTAGCTATCGACTCCCGGCCAACTTGTTTGGGGGTTTTTCCTTTATTTCTTCACACAGAGATTTTTTTTTTTTTTTTCTTTTTGGTGAATGAAAGCGAGGCCCTGAGGAGCTTTTTCCTGTTTTAATTCTTTTCAACATATTAACTACTCTATTCCCGGCATATCGCCTTCTCGCTGGAACGATTTTAGTTTTCTAATTGTGCCCTTGACCCGGTGCCTCGAGGTCTACGCCTTCTTACCCGACTTTCTGTTATTGATGTCTTCGAATTATATACACTCCAGCCTGGATTGCTGTTCGAGCTTTTCCACAAAATGAAGCGGCCAGCGAAGTTAAGAGAATTACGCCTGTCTCCCCATTCGGTACCGTCACAGTCAAGTTCGGTTCTTTCCCGTGTGCCTTTGCTTTATAGCAGTGATGATGGGAATGGAGCGAGGTTGCAGCATTGGACCGGGGGAGATCAGGTCCCAGGGCTACTTATTCCTCTAGGTGAGTTCTCCAAAGCCGGCTGCAGGTGTGATTGTGCATACTTTGAAGGCATTGCGCAAATATACGCAGCTCTTTCAAGCCTATGGAACTCTAGTAGCATTCCATTGTTGGCCTTGGGTAGCTCGACGAACTTGTCTAACTCGAATTGAAATACTAGCCTTTCTTTCTTACCTACGTGCAAACCTTCAGATCTGTGCCGCCGACCAAGAAGATATTTACAGTCCGTCCACTCCTATATCAATTTTGAACACACCCAAAACACTCAACCCGTCTTCACGTTTCTCTCGACATCCACTTTCAACGGAGCTTTCCTCCGATGACGCAACTATCCACATATCATCAGACCCGGCGTACTTAGATGAGAAAACAAGCTATGCTTCCGAGATAGATCCTCTACTTGCGGATCTTCCCATACAAATATCGCAGGCGACCACAGAAGAAGATGCTGCTGCAGCCCTCGAGCTGATTGCAGAAAGCATCTCCCAACAACGTCAAATGGCGGCAAAGGCCATTATCTTCCACCCACTGATTTTAGCAGTTTCGATTCTTTTCTTCCTAACTAGTGTGAAATTACTATATACCGGATCGTTGAGCGATGTGATACTTATGATGAGTACATGGGTCGGCTATAGTGTCATGCTGCTGCTCATAGTCAAATCCATGCTACGGGGATATTCAGATGTGATTGAAAGAGTTGGAAGTTGGCCATGGCTGTCGGGGAACTCGATAACCGGTGCCTCGCACAAACGAGATGAGATCCTGGTGGCCAAGGAAAACGGCGAAGTAGTCGGGGTACTTGTCCTGAGAATCGCAAAGGCGATGACTTCTCCCGACATGCTGGGCGTTCGACCAAGGTCATCAAGGCGGAAAAGCTCCGCGAGGTGGACGGGTATTATTCGCGCGTGGACGGTTAAGAGGACGTATCGCTTTCGAGGTATTGGGACACGCCTCTTAACGGATGTTGTGGCTAACTGTCGACTACGAACATTGGACGGGCCGATTTTCGCTGATGATCATGCAAATTCGGTAAAGCCACTACCTATGATGTTTAATACTGTGTTTGAGAAGCAGGAGAAGTGGGCTCGGGCGTTTTTGGAGCAGATTATATTGGCCAAGAGAAGTCGTTGAGCTTACGGAATACACGATGGAGACATTTTTAACGCTCCTGGTTATTATCCCTTCGCGCAAGGTACTCATTTGAAGAGTGACATGGATGAGTGAGGAGATTGGAGTTTCTTGGGATTTTTTGCTCCATTTTGAAAATTGGGTGGTTTCTACTCCGTACTTGAGGATGATATTTAAGTCTATGCAATATACCCTGATCTAGCGACCCACATGCAAAATATTTTCAAGATACCAAGTCTGGAGTGTATATACGGCGTAGAGCATGGAGTTTTCTTAATCTGCTATTTTCAACCTAGAATAAATAAAGCAAAGATCCCCAAAGGAAGCCATTGTCACGCGGTGCTGTCACTTTGTCACTCGAACTCATGCTCCAACCAAGGATGCCCATGTTGGTTCAACCCGCATGTACCCTTGATCTACCATTCTGTTCCCGGGTCTCAGCTTTCACGCTCCTGTTGAAGCAGTGGAGGTGTGTTTCAGAGTAGCAAGGGTTTGGTTTGGCACCATGCTTCTTTCCTTTAGAGTTGGGATTCGCCCCCTGTTTATCCTGCTCCATGGGTGTCATCGGCGACACAGGGAGTTGGTTACACAAAGAAACTCAGTGTTCAATATTGACACCTCTTGCTTGGAAAATGCTTGTTGACTTACATACCCAAGCCCAACAGCTTCGGTAAATAAGGTGAAATACTCCGTAGTCGTAGTTGAAGAATTTTAAAGAGGTCTGCGCACCGTTTCTCGGCTGGGTCTTAAATTCAACCGCCCAAGCATGGCAGCCTGCAGGAATACAACGTTGGCGTCACTAGATATCCAACTGTCGTAAGCTCTGGTGGGCCCATTATTAACTGACTACTCCGTACGGAGTAACTAGATAAAATAAGCAACGTGAAAAGAGTCGAATGCCTGTCAAATGCCTGGCTTGTGGATGTACGGAACACTCGCACACCAAGATTCCTCCGGTCCTCTCAGTGCAAGCTATAAAGCATTTTCGCGACTTTGTCGATAGCATGCAACCTCTCTGCGAATGCATATCTTGGCTACATGGGAGTGTCTTTGTTGCTCAGCACTCGAGGAGAAGTTCACGCTTGACGCCGGACGGTCGGAGAAAAAAGCTGAACCGACGGCGGGGGCGGGCAGCTCGTATTCTTATCAAGGCTGCGCTCCGGCATTGACGATGCTATGTCGGTCAACATGATGAAATATTGTGTCAGGTCAGGATATACCCGCGCATATCCTACACATGCCTGTAATAAGGAATCACATCACCGGATCTGTGGATTGATGGGTAGAAACAATGGCCGACGGTTCAAGGGGTGAGAATCGTCCATGGATCCTTGGAGCAAACAAGCAAACGGCGACCCCCCATCCATTGAAGCACGGGACTTTTGGTGATATAACTAGTCGTCCTCATCTTGACCTCGTGATAGTGGGATGGCCCTTGAAGCCTTGGCCAGCATCTTTCCAAGCCCCATTCTGAACATATTGTGCTTTGCTTACGGAGTACTCCGTACACCAACTCACAAATTTGACTTGTGAGAAATGCTTCTGAGATACCACAGAGTAGCCGGTTATGGAATACCCTGAAGATACGACCAAAGGACGCTTCAAGCCACCAGCACACCGAGAGGTGCAGCGAGCGCGATCTCGACCACACGGTTAGCCCACTGACGTCATTGTCGGGGTCACGCTGGCAGCTGGTCTCACGAGCAGGTGATGGCTTGAGATCGCCGGCCGCAGAGAAATGTGCGGGTTTATTCAAACCCTACTGCTCGACTCCGTGTCAGTATTATATTCCATAGCCGTGTTTGCCCCGCAGCCATGGCGTATTCATATCTTCCATATCCTTCTCATCCCCCATGTTGGCCTTCAGAGAGTCTCAGATCCGACGTGGAAGAAATCCAAAGAGACTTTCCGCCTGGCTCTCGGTATCAAGAGTGGGTCTCTACCGGTGGAGAGACGATCTACTGCGAGCGGAGCCGAGTATCAGGACGTTCCCCATCTCGATACCAAGACGCGTTCCTCCGATACTGTCATGGACCTGAAGCTTCTCCACGTAAGTTGGACTTTGTTTACGCGTTAGATGGGTCCACCTGGTCCATTCTAGATGCTGGTGGTGCGATAGACTACTTGCTCGAGAGATGAGACTGACCGTGTTTCAAGGTCGTTCGCTGCTTTCTCGTCGGTGTTCCCCTAGGTCTAGATCATTTGGGCCGAGGTCTCGTGGAAGAAGCCGTGGGCGCCAGGGTTTTGAACCCCCTAGGTTGAGTCGACGGCGGGACCATGATCATTCGGAGTCTGAATCCTGTCATGGTGGATCTCCAAAAGCCGAGAGAAAGAATAGGTTTAAAGATTTGACTCCATCCGGCATACTGGCTGCGGCAGGCAAAAAGGCCTGTGACTTGTATAGATCTTTGTCGCGCGGCCGGTGTGACGATGAAAGAAGCAAATCCCGCTCTTCTCACAGACGTAGAACCAAAAGCGTCTCTGGTTACTGCCCTGGAGAGTTCTATAGCTCTTCGGAAGAGTATGAGTACTGCTCTGATGGATACCGTCCACGAAGATCATGCTCCGTGCCTTGTCATGACTGCAACAGTGATGGATCAGACCAGTCTTCCAGCTCTTCTTCAGACACAAGCTCATCTTCCGGCTCCAGTACCGACGAGGCACACACTCGTCGCAAGATACTCGGGAAAGGGTTATTCGCTGCCGGCCTCGCCACCGTGGCCACGATTCATGCCGGTCACGAGCTCTACGAGAGCCGAGAAAAGCGTAAAGAGCGGCTGTTAAAATTGAGCCAAGGCAAGATCAGTCCCGCGGAGGCACGCAAGCAGCGGCTGGTGGGAAATCTGAAAGACGTGGCCACACTCTCAGTTGCGGCGTATGGGATCAAGAAGTCCATTGACGGGTGGAAAGAAGCTGTGAAACATCATTCAGAATACACGGCATACAACAAAAAATGCAGGGAAAGGGCAAGAAAACGAGCCCAGAAACGAGCTTTATCCATTGATTCGATGTGATGAGCACATTTTTGTGTTATAGATTATTGACCCTTTGCCTTTTCATCAAATGTGGACAAGCCTCCCTGCTAAGTTGGGCTGCGATGATGATGACATGGATTTTTGATGCCTTATGTGTAATGTGACTATGATATGATACCAGTTTTGCTTTATATCTTTGTTAAAGGCCTGATCTCCGAATACAGTGCGTAAATAACATCATATCTGTTAACAATCAAATATGTCGCATGGTCTACCTATTGACTTGCCAAGTACGTAACCCTGCTCGATAGACATAAAAAAGTAAAGAAATGATATGCCTTATATCGAACACAAATCCCAGTAAACATGCTCCACCGACATCAGAAATTTCGTAAGCCCAGTTGGCCCAAGATCACAAACAGACCACACAAAACCCGGTGACCGAAAACAGCGTCGATAGGTTTAGAACAAGCTAAACAATCACTTAAGTTTAAGCGTTGTGCCAAAACCATAAATACGACTCCCGATCTGCAGGAGGATTGGGTCTCATTAGCCAATTGCAATACATATGATATGTATGTAATTAATGGGTAGAAGGGATGCGGAATGAAGTTATGTACTTACCCTCTGCAAAACATAAACAACCTTCCCATCAAGCGGTTAGTAATTATCAGCCTAGCATTGCTTGAGCCGAACAAGGGAAGCTTACGTCTTCAGTTGTAACGGTCTAATATAAGTTAGTCACGGCATGATAGGTCGAACTCTGCGTCATATATCATCCTAAAGCACAGCGGTGACTCACTTTTCTCGTTTTCGAACTTGAACCTCCCGATTCGAGAACTTCGACAATTTGTCTGATGATCTGGGTATAGGATTAGAGGAAGGCCAAAGTAGGTAATATCTTTTGAGAGTCGAGTAAGCCTACCATTCTCAATCGATCCAGGAGAACCTCACGAGCGGTATCGTAGATGCTTTTCTGGATACGTTTGACGCCTCCACGTCTGGCCAGACGGCTAAATAGACAGTGCAAAGGAGTGAGCAAAGTAAATACTTGCAGGCTCACATAAAAGGTGAAAAAGGACTACTGGTCCTGGAGAGAGATGCAGCAAGCATTCTGACATACCGGATAGCCGGGCGAGCTGTGGCAGCCTTTAGCATCAACGTCTCTCACAAGAAAGCAAAATGACAAAGTCATTGCACTTACTGATTCCGATAATGTTGTCTCTGGATTGCTTCCTGCTGTATATTGGGAAAAAAAGGGCATTAGCAACGCTCTCTCGGCTTTGTCGTTCGACCCGGGACCCAAAGATTCCACGCTACCCGGTTCAGATGGCGCCAGCAGTTGGCAAGGGAGGGATTCGAACTTACTAGCGTAAATGAGTCAAGTGTTCCATTCCCTTGGAAGAAAGTGGGCGGGTAGAGTATGGAATGGTCATGGTGTAAAATACCCTTGTGGAGTTGTTCTTGGAAAGGGAGGAATATGTTGACTTTTTGAGCGATGAAGGGAAGGGGGTAACGAGGTTCGGGGACGAGAATGAAAATGAAGAGAAAGAGGAGGATGAAGGGAAGGGGAAAAGGATCAAAAGGAGGGAAAGAAAGCCTTTTTGGCCATGACAACTGTTGTGTTACTCGCAGCAGATGTGCTGCTTGTCGCCGAGTACGACTGGGAAAAGGAGGCTGGGCCTTCCAACGTATGAACTCAACTAGGTGTTGGTAAACACTTTGTGTAGACCAATGGGCAAGGAGAAACTCCAGAAATCCTCACTCGACAAAATTATATATCATTTGAAGGACAATTAGATCTCCCAAGGAGATCTATATTTTCACTAGGATTAAAATTGTTCTAATAATGATAAAAAGCGAACGGATTGTCTCGTTCAGACATGCCAAAAGACAACTCTAACGCCAATCCAACCAGCCAAAAGGATAGAGCCAAGCCGGTCTCTAAGTCTTCTAAGATATAAAGGTTGCTTCGGAATAAAGAGTCCCTTCTTCGGTGATCTCCGTATCTCCAACACGGAGTTTCAGACTCAGCTTCTCCTGAGGAGAATACTATAACTTGTATCAGCATGCAACCACTCTCAAGCTTGGGGGCACAAGAAAAGCCATGGGATAATGCCAACCTGGTAGATATAGGGTCTTGTCCCTGCAACACTGCCAACAATTGACTTAATGAAACCAGGGACTTCTGCCATGACATCGACTCTATCAAGCCTCTGTCCAAGGGGGCCTTCAAGGACGGCACTAACTTCCTTGTCGTCCTTGTTTTGGCCAGACCATGTAAATTTGATAGTCTTTGGCTCTGGCCAGTCATTTTCCGAGTCCTTGACGATCTCCCCATGCGATGCCGTATTCGAAGTCCCTGCATATATGATTTCCCCGTCTTTCGCGATGCCGCCAACATTGACGACGGTCGATCCATAGGATGGGGGAGTGGTATACTCCATGATGATGGCAGAATATGTGGGGCTTTGGAAGTTGGCAAAGTTCCATCTCGCAGCTAAGTTACGTATGAGCAAAATGTAAAATAGAAGCCGGGTGGGAGAATAAATGAAAATACCGAGATGATGGGGTTTCATTCCCTGCAATGCATGCACGAAGAATCCCCTTCCACTACAGTTTATTTCCCGCTCCGGGGTTATAATGGTCCCTTCGACTTTGCATCGAGGCCAGAAAGAGTGACGCATGCTACCCCAGGGTCGTTCGGGGTCGGTACCAAAATTCGATGTACCATTGGTCCCGGCGACAAAGCCTGGGGCCACACGGGTCATGGTGAGATTGACAAGGCTATTCTCATTGAGGGCGGACTTGATGGTGTAAGAAGTACCGTCCTCACTGAGGGTTATTGCAACATTGTCGCCGCCGAATGACAGCATATCCTCGTCAAAGATGTGATTGTGGATGGTATCGGAGTGCCACTTGTGCGGGATCTGGGGGTCTGTGGAGTAAATCTTGGTGTTGAGATGGCATGTCGTATGAAGTCCGCTGCAAGAAAGACACATTGTTCAGCATAGGACTTGATTAAGGGCGCCAGGCACTCCTTGAAGGATTCTCACGCGACATTGCTGTAGATCACTTGGACCATTGCCTGATCACCTTGGTCGGACGTAATATAGAACGTTTGAGTCTCCACACAAGTGGACTGCATAGCTTTCCATTTCATGTCATCCTTTTTCAGCTCCGAATAGGGAGCTGTCTTTGTTTGTTCTGCGACAGACTGGATCGCAGTGGGGCCATAGATGGGCTCTTGGGTACCAGCGACAGTGGCTAAGCTAAATACAACACAACGTAGTTAGTTGCCGAGAAGAACCTTTTTTGATAGTGCTTGCCACAAAGAATATTCTCACGTAGATTTTAGCCAGTTCATGGTGATGGAGTGGTCAGGATTGTTTGATCACGCTACGGAGGAACCTGAGGTTGGGCAGCGAGAGATCAAGATTTCGGGAAACGGAGGTTGCAGGGAAGCTGACGATGTCAGGGACCTGGGTAACGGAATAAATTTATTCCGAAACATAGCAGCCCATGATTGGATGCGGTAAGCGCGATCCTCAGGCGGTTACCTAAACGCCCGCTTAACGACAAAAAAAACTTCGGACAAGAAAAAGCGACTCGGTTCGGATAGACCAGCGCAACATAGAGCAAGCAGAAGCCGCTGCAGGATCGCAAAGGAGGTCCCGGTTGGCAGCGAAGTACATCGCAGCTTTCAAGAAACCGGCAGAGTCCCCGGAGCATTCGTCACAATGGCTACGCGGAAGATCGTCCCAAAAGATCAGATCGTCAAGCTGATCGTTGGTGCTGGCCAGGCCAGCCCAAGTCCTCCCGTCGGTCCGGCTCTTGGTAGCAAGGGTGTGAAAAGCATGGATTTCTGCAAGGTGAGTATATAAGCTGCTTCCTTCCTGCGCTGTACCTTACCTTTCCTCGGCTAAACCGCTCCCGTATGACAGGAATTTAATGCCCGCACGGCACACATCAATCCTGGCGTGCCGGTTCCAGCCCGAGTAACCGTGCGTCCTGACAGATCTTTCACATTCGAACTTCGAACCCCAGCGACATCTTGGCTTCTACTCCAGGCCGCAAGAGTGGACGAGCGTGCTGGCCGTCTGCGCGGTGGTGGAAATCCGGGTCATGAGAGCATCGGCTCGGTGTCGCTAAAGCATGTTTACGAAATCGCCAAGATTAAGCAGTCAGAGATCAGATTGTCTGGGTTAAGCTTGGAGGGGCTGTGTAAGAGTGTGATCGCGCAGGCGAAGTCAATTGGCCTTGAGGTTGTACCATGACACCCTGCGAAGCGGAAGGGCGTCGGAAGCAGCTTTTCAACGTTTCATTTTCAATTGCATGGCGTTATGGGAAGAAGAGCGAGGATATCCTCTTTCTTTGTTTTGTGTATTTGTGATGGACTGTACTATATTGGAAGCTCCTTGCAGTAAAATGATGGATGTACGTCTACGACGTTATCGAGCTATATTTGGCCAAAATGATGCCACGTCGCCCAGTCAACTATCATCCGGCGTGGGTGCTCGGATGCTTCACAGGACAGGGGCCGGCACTGCCTACCGCGGACCAAGCTGGGTGGCGCCCTGCCGTAAACCGTGTCTGGAGTATGAATATACCTAATTTAGCTGCAAAAAAGGTGAATGACGGATCCGGAAGTGCCGGTGTTCGCCGCCTGGCAGAAAGAAAGGCTGAGCCACGCTTTTCTTGTTTCGGAAATGTTCTAGAACACTGCTTAGTAATCACACATGCACCGGTTAATCACGTGAAAGCCACATGAGCCGCCAAAGGTCCCTCGGCGGTAACGCCACTGTAATATTACCGCATATCAGGCCACCACGGTGTACCCCTTTGAGGTTGCTCCCGCAGTCTGCCCGTGGTTATCGTGGCCACGGTACCTGCACGGCGCCGGGCGTGTCGTAACTAATCCGTCACCCTGTCAGGCCATTATGTCATAGAGGCGCACGCTGCGAACCTTTCGACGAATTTTTGCGCCGACAACTTCAACTACAAGCCGCGAGGAACTGACATTTTTTTTCCTTTCTGCGGCAAAGAAGCCAACTCCTGTCGAGACCGAGAACATCGTCTTCTGGACGTTTGTGGTGCTCGTAGTGAATGCAAATCAACTGCAAGCCCACCATTCACAGCTCGCTGGCTGGCTCCTTCACTGTACTAAAAATCTTGTCGGGTGCAAATTTGACCGAAGACCCCTTCCCGCATCCAAATCTCCAGCGACTCCCTCCCCACTCCGCTCTGTCCCGCCCAGATATCGTCGGATTGATCGCAATTTCACCGCCAACGGCCAACGAACGACCCTTTCCCGCCTTTAGAACTTTATGCGTACAGCTCCAGCTGCAGCAGAGGTTCTTTCGTTCCCGTCTCCAAACAATCATAACGACTACCCTCGTTTTGTTTCGATATTTAAGTCCTGGGTAGCCACCACCTAGAATCAGGATTGCATACTCCTAGAAACAAGACGCGATCGACGAACGACTTGATAACTAGCTGCCTCTCCTCCACGACCGACGATAATTGAATTGGGGATGCGTCAACAAGGAAAAAATCCCGGGTCGCTTATCTTCTTACCCAATACAGTGATTTCACTCGACCGTATCGGATTCAGATAAGAAAACCACGTCAGTCAGCTTTTTTTTTTCTTTTGTTTGGTATTTCTTATTTTTTTTTCCCCCTTCCGACCTTCGTCCATCTTTTCTTCTTCTTTTGCCATTATCCCTTTTCTGTAGCTCCCTGTGCATTTCCTGCTGTTAAGTATTAGCTCGAAGCATTTCCATGCTCACCGTTATAACTCTTAGGCCCAACCATGTCCACGACTGCAACTGATTCTCAACAGTCGGGCTCTACCATGGCAACTGCGGACGATTCTTCGTGCCTCAATGGAGGCCATGCAGCCGTGCGCTTTGCTTCCAAGAACCAGGAAATCGAACCCTCGAAAAGTCGGCCTACAATAACTCTCTCCAATGACCCGCCACAAGCTCCGGAAGGGGATCATGCAAATCCTTTGCGTCCCGAAAGCCGAACCGAACTGCGCGATATTACCATAAAATTACAAAAATCAAGGCTGCAAGAGACTCGGATGCAGAATTTTGCTTTTGAGCCCGTTTCCCTCCCACCTACAAGAGTATGTTGATTTCCTGCGATTCAGCCAGGTCGTTTAACCGTGTCCAATTCCTGCAGATGCTTTCGGATTTTACTATTTCGAGGCCAAGCTCTTTACTAATCCCTCACTCTAGGCACCTTCTAGGGACTCAACTACGCGTAGTCATCGAGATGGCCCTTCCCCGCCTCCTTCCGGACCGCATTCTCCTGTTCTCGGCCCCCACGATGCGGAACAGATGAGAGATAGAATCAACCGGACAATTGTGAACTATTCGGCCATGACACCACAATCATCCCTCTCAAATGATAATTCGGGCAAGAGCTATGGTTCCCGGTCGCCGGCCGGGTACGGCTCAAGGCCTTCTTCATCCTCAGGGCTGACATCAGCAAGGCCATATTCCATGTCTGATATCCCCGCGCCTCCAAGGGAATCCCAACGCAAGCCGAAATTCTTCCTTGGACCCTCTGACGAGAGCCCACCTTCAACTCCGAGACACGATATCGGCTCTTCTGCCTCTTCTATCATGGGCCCCGGTGCTCCCTTTCCTCTGGGGGACCAGAATGACCCCTATTCTAGGAGTAGAATGCCTCCCCCACAAACGAATCTTTCCCAATTGGATGAAAGATTCATTTTCGGCAGCCTTGATTCAAAACGTCGTTCCAACAAGTCTCTTTCGTCTGCTCCTTTAGCACCTGCCTTTGAAAAACAACATGATAAGAAGTTGTTTGGTAAAAAGGAAAATCGCCATCTCGACGGCCATCTGGAGAAGCATAAGCCCCACGGCTCAATGTCCGAATTGAGGCGTTTCTTCCGAATGGGTGGGAAACAAAAACGCGGCGAATCGCCTGCTTCTATTCACGGTAAACGGTCTTCAAGATCCTCAAGCAAAGCCGATCCATTCCGGGCTAGTGGCCCTAGCGTTCCATTTGCTGATGATCATGGCCTCCAATCCAAGTACGGAAAGCTAGGAAGAGTTCTTGGATCAGGAGCAGGAGGCTCCGTCCGCCTACTGAAGCGAAATACTGATGGAGTCACATTTGCTGTTAAGCAATTCCGAGATCGTCATAAGTGGGAGACGGAAAAGGAATACGCGAAGAAAGTTACAGCAGAATTCTGTATTGGCTCCACTCTGCACCATGGGAATATTATAGAAACTTTGGATATTCTCCATGAGAACAATAGCTGGTATCAAGTCATGGAGTACGCACCATACGACCTATTTGCATGTGTGATGACAGGCAAGATGACACGAGAAGAGATCACATGCTCTTTCCTGCAGATTATCAATGGTGTTACCTACCTCCATAGCATGGGACTTGCGCATCGGGATCTCAAATTAGACAACGTGGTTGTCAACGATCGCGGAATCATGAAGTTGATTGATTTCGGAAGTGCAGTCGTGTTTAGGTACCCCTTTGAGACCAACATTGTTCTATCTTCCGGTATGTTTATCTTAGATGGAACTGGACACTGCAATTGAGATTGAACTGACCATTTCTTTTTTTGCAGGTATTGTCGGGTCTGACCCTTATTTGGCCCCGGAAGTGTACGAAGAAAAGAAGAAATACGATCCCCGGGCGACGGACATCTGGTCACTAGCTATAATATTTTGCTGCATGTCTTTACGTCGATTCCCATGGAAGCAACCTAGAATAACCGATAACTCGTATAAGCTTTTTGTTTCACCACCTTCACCAGGAACTCCAGTCCCTGACGGTCCACCGAGAGAAGTTGGTCGACCACGGCCAAGATCTACGGCAGACTTGGCTTCTGTGGATAAAGAATGGCGAAGTGACCGTGGACGTTCACCGGTCTCTCGACATCATCACCGGCATGGGAGCGGAGGAATATACCCTCAATCCGACCCCGCGGCGCGAGATTTGAAGAAGAACGAAAATCATCCTCCCAATAACACCAGCTCACTATCCGAACAGCCGACAACCGCCCCGAAAGCTACCAATCCACCACCATCGCAACAGTCACAGTCGCATGGCGGCTCCGGTCAACGACAGGAAGTTATCAAAGGCCCCTGGAGACTCCTCCGGCTTCTGCCCCGAGAATCCAGACAAATCATCGGCCGCATGTTGAAAGTTAACCCACGTGAACGAGCGACGCTGGAAGAAGTGCTCTCAGACGAATGGGTGCGAAGTAGCGAGATCTGTAGACAAGAAGAGTCGGGCCAAGTTATGAACGCGCCCAACCATACGCACGTCTTAGAGCCACCATCCGGGGCCCCGCCACCAACAAATAATCAAAACCAGAAATGATGATTACGAGACTTGATATATCCGATACTCAAAAGAAAAGAAAGAGAGTTTTCCCTTTTCCCTCATTTTCTCTTTCCTCTTTCCTTTTCTTACTTTTAGTAATCATAGCATTTTAAATATGGGATTGACCAGGCTGGGCTTTCACTGGCGTTTACTGCGAATAGGGAAGCGGGAAGCTTTTTGGTCGTCTTTTGTTATGTGGTGTCGGTTTTATTCATTTACGGAGGCTTCTTTTTTTCTTTTTTTTTAAAAAATTTCTGGATTGTTCTTAAAAAGAAGCTTGTTGTACATACATCCATATCCATAAATAGGAACTTTTCGATGAGCGATTAGTTCCCGATTCCGTAAATTATGTATATGAATGACACGAAGATATAGACACGAAATCAATGAACACGTTGTACAACTCAATTGCCGGGGCAATCATACAATCCAATTAGTTTAAATGCGCGCCTTGGTAGAAAATCCCCGGAGGGGGGTTAGGGAGAATATAATGGTGAATTAAATGATTAGCAGATATGCATCAGCGATTGCTCTGATACCCTCATGCTAGAAGTTCAGTTGAAGACCCAGTTCGTGAATGAGACGCGGGCGTCGAACCTCCAGTGCTTATCCCAGCCGTCCCATCTTTCTTGGCTCCGGAATTGCTGTTTGCTGCTGGTAACATGCCTGTAGATTCTGTAGATTTGCCGTTTTCTTGCTGCGGTTGTTTTTGGCCATCGTTATCTTCTCCTGCAGCGGCGACAGCGGTGCTACCATTGGTAGCACAGGTCTGCGAGTCGTCCTTCTGATGGAATGGGATTATGCGTTTGCCATTTGCTTTGTAGTAAAGGACCATATCATTGCCTGTACGCCAGACATGGGTGCGCATTGTCAACAGAGTCATGTCGGGAGGTATTAACTATCATAGAATGTTAGTATGTACTCATAACACAAGATAGGGTCAAGGAATAAAGAGCAGGCAACATACTGTGTTTTGGCAGTACAATTCCAAATAATCTTCCGGCTTCATGTAGTTTTCATCTGAGTTATCCGCGGAGTACTGTGGATCAATACGTTCTGCGACATATGCAAGGATCTTTTTGGCACGAAGCATTCGATTGGCGCTTAATCGAGAGTTGGTTGAACTCCTTTTTTCGGCAAAATTAGCTCTTGCCCTGTTGTTCCAACAACATGGTCTGTAATGGTGATGAATCTGGGAAGAAAGGGAGCGAAACACAATTGGGGCAGAAATATAATAGACTTCAGACGGGAGAAAGAAAACAAAAGAAATAGGAAAGGCTTACGGATCGATGGCCTCAGGCAAGAGGTTTTTGTAGGGTTTGACGGAGAATGTAATTTTTACAGTATCTCCCTCCATTCGATTCTGGCCAGCGTCAGCATTGTCTATGAAGTAAGGGAGCAGATCATTTGATCTTGTTGGACTACGTTTACTAACCTCCAAGAGAAGACGCCCAAGCCACGCCGGTGCGACTTTCTCTAGCTCGTCAGTATCTCGGCTGATAGTCGTTACAGTTCCTCTATAGATATCAGGGGCAACTGGAATGCCCGGGCCATCCTCTTGAATGATAATAGGTGTATTTGGTGGAATGGATATTACTGGCGTTTCATTTTCAGGGATCGGTGTGATCTTTGACTGGAGCTTTTGTTCGGGCTCTGCTGCCAAAGCCGTCTCGTACGAAGCTCTCATCTCGTCGATAACACCGCGAAACGTTAGATCAGGCACCTTTTCCTTTTCCTTTTCTGAAGAGCCGTCAGATTCCTCCGTTTTCTCTTCCACGACGGGCTTTGCTTCCGTAGACGTCCGGCCTAGCTTTTTAGGAAAAGACATCTGGAATTTCTTGCCAAACAGAGAGCCACTGCGCTTAGCTTTCTCTTCTTTTTCTGGTCCAACTGGAGAGGTTGGGGAGGGGCCAGGCAACGTAGTTTCTCCAGCCGCTGGGGTTTTCGCGTTCGACGCTGAGGAATCCACGGATGAGGTACTGAGTTTGGAAACGAAATAGCCATCCGCTCCAGGACGATCAATTCTTTTTCCATTATGGTCATCGCCCGATGAATCCGCAAGGCTCGAGAAGGGGTTTTCTGGTGTGGATGTGGAAAGCGGTGCCGGTGTTGCAACACCAATTGACATCCCTGGAGACATACTTGTCGAGCGTAGCTCACCCAGAGACTGAGCCGCCATTGCGGGCGACCGAGGCGAATTTTCTGATTCCGGATTTTGGATCGTAATAGGCGGGATGTCTATAAAGTTGGGAGCTTCCGGTCCGGAAGTACTCTTTGAGTCCTGCATTTTTGCTTCGAGAGACGTCCGATACTCAGCGTCCCTCCGTATCTCTTCATCAACGAGACCGGCAAACAGATAACAAAGGACCCACTTCCCCAGATTAACTATAAATTTAACGGAAAGACGTCAGAAGATGAATAAATTAGACGGAGGACACATCATACTTCTCTGATCTTCCCTGAACTGGCTTAAGTCTGGCAGATCAGACTCATCAGCATACATCTCGCCGTCGAAGCACCTATGAGGTTCTAAAATAACGGAGAGTGTTCCTGTTCGGATATGCAACGTGCACCAATTAGCGATAGTCCTAGTGGTGTTTAATTTCGCAGCAATATCATCTAAATGACCCTTGCCAAACGACTGTATCGCAACGCACTTTGAAATGTTAGCAGAACGCTCGGGGATACTGTGGACTCTATGACCATCTTACTCTTATGAGATCCCATAAGACAACTTCACCAGCCGTATCTTTAGTAAGAGCACGGGTTCTATCGTTTAGCATCATATGCTTCACCAGCCCATTCTTGCCTTCAAGGGTCTCTTTTGGCTGAGTTTGAGCGGGAATGCATGCTTCTTCCGACTGCGGAGTTTGAGAGGTATCAGACAGGGCTAAAATCGAGGATCGCGAAATTTTTATTTTGGCGGTCTTGGTAGATTCGCGTTGCGTAGCCACATTAGATGTATGATGATATAACTGTTGTGATGGGATGAAATCGATATCTGTGGTGTCAACATCGCTCCAGCGATTAATACTGCATTTGGGTGTAGCTGTCCAGATATGATCGTTGGCAGCAACGACTTTAAACACTCCTTCATTTTCTTGCAAAGCAGCGACACAGATTCCTTGATCCATATCGGCGGCGTTTCTTGTGTCTGTCTTCGCCACTACACCGGCTCTGTCACTCGAGTAGAATACGGATAGTTGAGGGTGGTCCGAATATAACGACCAGACGCTCTCGTTGTGCATAGTAAGAGTATGCATACATCGGCCGGCGGTTATCGACCACACTTTGACAGTTTGATCCGAGGACGCTGTAATGATAGTGTTTGCGTCATCGTTGATTAGGATACCACGAACGTTGTCTGTGTGGCCCATAAAGTTGTTTGCAAGTTTCCCAGAATTGGAATCCCATACGCGGACGACACCATCGGGCCCTCCACTAACTAGAATAGACCCTTTGGCACCCAGAGCGTATACCGAACCCTTTTGCGCCTTACCATCCTCCGAGACATCGATCTTGAGTTTTTCCCACCCGCCGTTCAAATCCCAAACGTAGATTTTATGATCCAACCCACCGGATGCGACCCAGTCGGCGTGATGTCGAGGAGATGCCAAACACTTGACATAGTCCCTGTGTCTGCCAATGGATGACGGTATGTTTGAATCCTCGGAATCCTGTCGCCAGACCCTAACGGTGGTATCTGATGAGCCGGATACAAGCACGGTATTGCTTTGAGCAAGGGTAATATCGTTTATCCAGTGGGTGTGGGCTTGGACTTGTCGGCGAAAGGTGGTTTGTTGCGCGGAACTAGTGCTGGACCTTGACCCCGGCCTTTGCGAACCTTCGCCCAGCGAAGACGACAAAGAACGGCTCGGTGAAGGATCTCGAGAGCGGGGATCGAGATGTAAATCCCAACTACATATAACGCCATCGCGACCAGCTGAGTATCTGTAAGTGTAATATATTAGCCAAGAAAGCCACCTTGTCGGGGGGTTTGCGACAACGACGCGCGATCGCGAACGGGGACATAGACTCACAAGATGGAACGACCAGCGTCAATGGCCAGACCATTCACACCTAAGCGATGTCCACCCGGGCCATCGGGCATAGGCAGCTCTAAATCGGAGCGATATTGGTAAGCTCAGGACAGGATTAGAAGGGATTTATCCGCGCGGTATGCTCACGGACCATAGCTGACTCGTTGGAGATGTTTCCTCGCCATCCAAGAGATCCGGAGGGATTGCTCACTCGAGATTGAACGGAGACAAGTTGAGCAATGACCAGTGGACGGCTTCGGGTTGTCGACCAAGCATATATAGGGTGTTTAGTAGACTGAAGGCCGCCATGGGGTTTCTGAATCCCGTCGGATCGTGGGAGGGAACGTTTGGGATGGAGCCGAAGCCAGCAGATGAGATGTGGGGAGCAACCTTATTTAAGCATAGATAAAGTTCGCGGGTATTGATGTATGATACGCCGCTCTTACCAAAAAATTACGTGAAATCTCGGCCAGTGACGTCACGGATAAATGTAATTACTAGTGCATAACTCGACAACAGCGTAACAAGCGAATAGGGGCTGTGGTTTAGTGGTATAATGTTCCCTTAGCATGGGAGAGGTCCTGGGTTCGATTCCCAGCAGCTCCAACTTTTTTTGCTCCTTTCTAGGCGCCAGACGTGAGTCGCCGGTTGTAACCCATTTGGAGGTCTGCTTTTTTTTTGTTGGGTGATTTTTCTTTGGACGCGGTTGAAAATAGGGTTCCCGCTTGGTGTGTTGCAGGCAGCCATATACCCGGTTTCGCTGTGATCTGAGCTCGGTATCAGCAACTACATTATCCATACCTTCCCCAATTCCTAGGATTATCCATGTAGGTTGAGTCCTTCTGGACATGAATTCCTCTTTCTTTGCAAAGTGATACCGCAATTATCATAACCTTACGCTCCAACCATTCCATGTAAAGCGTTGACGCCTTGCCTCTCTCAAGTCGCGCAGGCGATCGCCCGATGCGTCTAATTTTTAAGCTAGCGCTTCCCTTGCGGTGTGATGCCAATTGTCTTTGCGTTGTACTCAGACGATAGCGACACCAAATGCCGGAGACGCAAACGATACCCCTATTGGATCCTCCACTGCACCCAAACGGCAGCAGGGACTGGCAGCCGTTAGAAAAGTTTAAAATGGCACTTTTATAACCTCCATACCATACAACTGAAACAGGGAATAGAAGAAACATGCGTCTCTATACCACGCACTAACAGTCAAAGTGCTTCTGTCCATCCTGTTGCACACTGATCCAGAGTCTATGGCACTATAAGTTTAGTTCTCATCAATGAATCCCATATGGGAGCTTCTTCTGTGACATGTTCTGGTGTAAAACCATCCATACTTCTTGGAGTTAGCACACACTGAGATCCATCCCTAGTCCATTTCACCGCCCCGCCCCCCGCGCGGCGGAACTAAAGAAGGCTCAAGTCTAAATATTGGTAATATCATGATGTAACCAACGGACGGTTAGCACACAGCTCTCGAGCAGCGAATCTGTATTGGTCAACTTGGAATTTCGGTTCATTCTAGGGCCCGCGGGCCGCCGGTAAATTCCAGGAGATTTTGTAGATCCATATGATGTGTCTCGAAAAGTATCGTTTTCGGCGAGTGGTGCGGTGCGGGGGATTACACGGGAAATCCACCTTTCGGACATGGCCAATATTAGTGCTCACACTATAGTTGGCCATTCGGATGGATTGATTGTCCTCAGCTCTGTGACCTAGCTGTCCCCGTCTGATCATAAGTGCTTCCTTTCTGGAAAAAAGTGATGGCTTGAAAGACCTTTTCTACGGTGTGGATTGGATGGGATAACAGATGGCGCTGTCAGCATCTCACCTCGCCCAAACTTGAGGCTCCAAAATTTTTAGAGTTTTTCTTAGGAGACTTTCGGAAATATGCGAATCCTCATCATCGTCAAATTTCATTATTTCGATTATCGAGGAATCATTTTCATCTTCGTAAAACGTACGAAATTGTGCGAGTACACAACTTTCTACAGCGTATACCTGAAGTCAGGATCTTCACCAATAATCTTCTCGCCCCGATCAGCCTTCTTGTTTGTAGCCCTGAAGTACAGGGTGAGAAGTGTAGCACAGATCATAATGGCCACCGCGCAGCTAGGCAGTTATCAAAAGTGTTAGCAGTGTACTCTCACAAAAGTAAAACTGGCCCAAGTGTAAATGGCAGTACGTACACAATACATGCCACCATACCGGGCATGTAGTCGGGCCGATCCTGGCTTCGGAACACAAGACTCCCAGAGATTCCACCAATGCCTCCAAAACCAGTCAGGGTCGCTGAGCAGAAAGCACGCTTCCACTGGCCACGAATGTTGTTTGCCTGCAGGTGAACATATGTCAATGATGAATGCATTTTGTTTTAAGACCGGAAGTGGGACAGTACCTGATATGCCATTATAGCAGGAACATTGGCATTGGCACCAGCAACAGCAATGAACACCCCAAAATATCGCACTGCGTTGTTTGAATGGAATCCCATGATAGGGAGTCCAACAATTAAGATGATGCAGTTCAGGAGTATAATGGGGGCGCGCATCCGGTAGCGATCACTAATCCATGATGTTACGAACATCAGAATTGCCGAGAAGACGTACGGGGGCGCAATGAGACATTGGGACGCAGCAAGGCTGAAACCCAGATTATCTCGTAGAATGATGGGTAGGAAGACTATTCCTGTCAGTATGTGTAGATAAGGTTGAAATGAGATGGTCAAGATGTCGGTATCCTACATGCAAACGCATAGGTGACAGTGGTGAGACAGCTAATGATGATGTTAGACGTAAGTCAATTCCAAAAGCAGCCTTCGAACATGATTCCTTACAAGAACATGAATGCAAACACCCATATCTCGAAATCTCCAGCCGGCTTCAAAAATCGTTTAAGGGTAAATTTTTCAGCTACCACATCTCGTCTATCTTCCTCCAGACGATCAATGATGTACTGGCATTCGTGAGGCTGTAGAAACCGGAAGGAGGGTTTGTCTCGTTCCTGGTCGGGGAACCGAACGATGAAGGCATATGCGAAAATTGCAATTGCGCAGGTTATCTTGTATATCATGAGTCACACGCAGAGGGTCGGTTTCGAGACAATAGTAAAACTTACAACACCTTCCATAATGAAAATCCTGAACAACTATTTAGCCAAATGCCAAGTAGAAATCAAGCCGAGAATGCTTACCATCTCCATCCGCGAACACCTTGAACACCCTCCATTTGCATTAAGCCATATGCAAGGATTCCCGACAAGGCGGACGCAAGACTACCGATCAAGTAAAATACCGAGTATCGCCGTGCAACCTCGACTGGTTGGCGATTAGCACGAATGAAGAATGCATAAATGTGACATAGGAGGAAATCTTACACCGGGTGTACCACGTCGACAAGAGGTAAACACAGCCGGGGAAATAGCCAGCTTCCAGAATTCCAAGCACAAGTCTCAGGCCCACCACTGTGGTCCAATTTTTCGCAAATCCAAGCCCGATAACGAGAGCGCCCCATAGAAAACAGATGCCTGGTAAGAATATGCGAGGCCCGACCTTGCGGCATATCACTGTCATCGGAGATTGGAAAACGACGTATGTGATAAAGAAACATAGAGTTATGAGACTGTACCGATATCCTTCCAGCAAGGAAAGGTCTGTCCTCATGCCGGCGATGGCCGCATTCGAGACGTTCTTTCGATCCATAAGTGATATTCCATACATGAAACCCAACGCCGGAATAAGTCGCAGATCAATTCGACGCCGCAAGGAGGCAGCTTCTTTTGGGGTAAATGCCTCGTTGCTCTCACTATCGAGCTTGGATCCATCCTCGATATGGATAGGAGACTGCTTTCCCTCCGCCGAGGTTGTTTGGGACGCCATATTCTTCAGTGGCTCTCTGGCAGATGAAAAAACGAGAAGGAAAAAAATGTTTGAAGAAGAGATGAGAGCTGTCGAGCACAGCACGACAGGTGGTAGTTTATGTACGGAACCATCGTCCTACACAGCAGGACCCAGAATCTTGCTGGTGGAGGCCATGAATCATTGAATTAAGGCCATTCTTGCAATACGAGAAAATGGCCGCACGGCAATGGGGCTCTAAACTAGTCATTTGAGTATGAGGACCGGAGCTTTGGCAGCTCTCGACCTAATCGCTGCGGCTAAACAAGTAATGGGACACAAACTCTCCGCGTTTTTTTAACACGAGGGTGGAATAGGGGCCCTTTCCTTTGCCTCTTGAGGTTCTTGGCATCAGCTTGGCGCAGATCGCCGTTAGCGTGAGAAGGACAGAAGACGCGGGGTAAATGCGGAGAGCGTACGGAGTACATACAATACATGACCGGACCGAGGCCTCTTCCCGGGACGATCGTGAATTGACTCCCTACCGGTGGCGACAATGGGGCTGTTGGGAAGCCAGAAAGAGCTTCAAAGGTCCCCTGTAGATCTCTCTATTCGGGGACGATGTCGCCTCAGCGTTTTCTGAATTTTTCTATCCCGCCACGAATTCGTGTGCTGCAGGCGCCAAAATTCGTGGCTACTAAGGGCTGGACGTTCTCGTACCTACATAGCATATAGGAACACAAGGAGGCGAATTGCCGGTGCTCCCGTTTCCAGATCCCACGGCAAAATGCATTCTAGGATATTCCGCGGATAGAGATCGATTTCGTAGCGGCGTTTTGACACATTCAACGATCTCACCGCCAAGACCCGGCTAGCATTTCATCCAGCTTTTTGAGACCAAAGTTCAAAAGTAGGTTTAAACTTCGGAACCAAATCGCAGGGACGGTGCCAAGCACACGTTTACTTGGCCTTTGAAGTCCTGTGAGTGCTGGCAAATAATGGTTATGCCCATAGACGCCGCAATGGATTCAGCATAGAAGTGGAGAGGCTGGATAGTCTTGTAGGCGACGAACGAAAGCTTTGGATCTCGAATTGATGCCCCGCGCGAGTGTGGTCATGATTCATGAGAGCGGGCCTCCGGGCGATTCAAGATACCGCCCTGTGGTTCTCGACGGCCTCAATTTCAGCTTTCAATTTAGAGTTGCTCTTTTCTCTCTTATTTTTCGTGGGAACGAAGTTGCCATTTGAATGTTCCGTACGGAGCACTCCGTAGCTTTAAGTCCAAATTCTCCACAGTTTCCAGCCAGGTTGAACTGTGTGTTGCGGGTCGCAGATACCCAACAATTATAGCCTGTCGATGGGTTACTATTGCACTAGTATCTGTATATCAGGGTTGTTTATGTGATAAGAGCTGAGCGTCCGAAAATTAGCTGTGATACACGGGTTGGAGTTAAACCCATGTGTGAAAGGCGAAAAGGATCGAGGAAAGCAGAGAATCAGCATTTGCCGAGTTTGACGGACCATTTCAGCAAAGGTTACGGGGTGCGATCCTTAGAGCCATCCTCATGGGGTCCTCAGGCTTGGTTAGCCGGCGAAAAACCGAGCAGAACTGGACAGCGAAGTCTCAGGAGCCAAGCCAGGACGTCGAGTTGTCGATGAGACTAGGTGCCGGGGGATTAGTTGACCCGTCCCGGTGTGAGGAGGTGGATGTTTTAGCGTCTTGGCGCCACTTGCCGCCTGACCAATAGGCGGCTGCCGGCTCTTCTCGAGAAGTTTAGCTTTCCGAGGCCAGACGCGAGATCAATGCCGTTCACTCCCCCCTTCTCTCGAGTTGCTCTCGTCTGCTGTTGTTCCAACAAACCGGCAAGCCACTCCTCTAGTTTGCTCGAGACTCCGTACTCTGTACTCCGTATTCGACTTCGAAATAGCTTTGGTCGCTTTGCGTGCCATTTTCTCCCCACCGCAACCCGTTGTTTCACTCCCGTTTTCTGCTTCACTTTGCCGTATCAAAAGTGACCACCAAATTCCGCACCATCGCCACGCTTGGCCAAGGTCTTCATATACTGCTCGCTTGGTAAATACCCCCCACCAACTTGGCAACCCACAGCCAATCCACCTCCCTTCAAAGTTCAGACCAGAGCCATATTTGACCTTATGGGAGGAGAAATCGGCATATCAGGCGTACTGCTGCCAACGACCACTTGCATGAACGATGCCACTACTGTCAATATACCCCAAGTTTTTGCTAGAAGCTTAAGAGTGGCAACTGGACCATGGAGGACCTTGTGTCACGAGGTTCCACTATGGAGTCGAGTCCGATTTCGGCCGGGCGACAATAGACTAGTCTCGAGGTCCTCAAACATATATCTCATGGCGCTGGCGGTCCGGGTTCGGAGATGAATGGAAGCCTAGCCGGCCATCTTCCGACCAGACATCCCACTCCACGAAGTTTGCTCCATTTTCATGTCTTCTTTTGGATATTTCCGATGCAGTTTGCATAATATTGCAAGTACGGAGTACATTGCTAACGATGTGCCCGAGCCCATACTCTATCTGGACCACCAGCAAGAGATAAAATCGATTTCCGGAGCGAGTTCATTATTCATCTTGTCCAACTTCTTTTGGACGGCTAGGAGCCAATTCCTTTATCATCCTTGCTATTGTGTGCTAAAGTTTCGAACCACATTTGGAATGGCATGGTTGAAAGCCCTCCTTTAGCTATAAAAACGATTCTTCAGGGATGATACCAAATCACCCTGGAAGCTGCCATACATTGGGGCATGTCAAGCCCGTCTTCCGACAAGGTGGTTATAGGAAGCATATTCTATGTTAGTAATATGTGAGGCATCAGATATCAAACATGTGTATTTCAAGTCTATTATAAATCCATTGTTCATATTGTACAAATTTGAATACTGCGGCATTGGACATACCAAATCCAACCCGCAGTACGCACTGCGTTCTTACAAATCCAACTCAGCACGTTCCCTTTTAAGCTTCCTGCCTTCAAGTAAGTTCCACGCCCGTTGATAGCTTCCAAGAAACACTGCACCCCCAATGCCAATCCAAGCGACACGTGGGCCAATGCCCCTCCAAAACGCACCAAACCCTTCGTCCCTCCAAATCCCCTGTACAACATCCCTCACCCTGATCTTTCCTGCACCGTCACCGCTCCCAGTTCTTCGAGCCAGCATGACTCTCGTTTTAACCACATCGAGCGGAGTCGTCAAACCCGCAGAAATCGCGCCAGCAATACTGCCAAAGAAGGCACTCGAAGTCGCCGATACAGGGGCCGTAGGGTCTGATTTGTGCTTCCACGAGGCATATGCATCTTTCATCCGTTCCCACATTGTAAACTGTAAGATGGTGAACGGGATTTCGCGCGAGATAGTAATTGCCGTCCCTCGATACAGTTCGCGGAAAACCAGTCTCCAACTTCCCTTGCCTCCACCTGGTAAATCACCATGACGCAGAGAAAGGATGTCTTTGAGAGCTAACAATGTGGAGCCGCCAAATAGTCCGGCCTGAGCCCGCTGCTTGATCACTTCGGTGGGGACTCGGATTGCACAAGCAGATACTTCTCCCATGGACGAGGCGAGAGAGTGCGTGAGCACCGAATGCTGCCATGATACCGGTATATTTTCAGTTGAATGTCGAGGGGGAAGGAGGAGGCGTTTCACACCATCGTAAACGACGAAGAAGCTCGCAGCGGATGGCGCGGACCCTAGGAGCACCGACGGCAAGCCGGCATAAATGCCTCGGAAGGTCTGGCGGAGTAATGGTAGCCCAGTTTTGGCCGACGGGCTCGAACTGGAGTTAACTTGGCGCTTTCGAGCTTGTTGGAGTCTAGTTTTGATGGTATCAAGAGGAAAGAGAGAGACGTCAACCGTGAGACCGGCGACCGCTCCGGCCTACCAAAAGTAGACTAGTTAGCAAAGATAGATTTGGAGCTGGAGTCTCCAAATTGGTGATTGATAATAGTGCATTAATATGTATCAAGCACATACCAAGAGGGATCTCGTCCAGAGAGAGGGGACTAAGGCCTGTGACGCATCCTCTCGGGGATGGTCAACCGCTTCCATTGGCGACAGCGAGTGAGTTGTTACGTAGCGATTTTATCCAAACACATGCTGTCCAACCGAAAGGAACGATCAAACAACTCACTCCACGGCAACCGCAGCTCCCACGGTGCGATCCTCCAGGGCTTTTTTTTGGATGTTTGAGGGTGGAAATTTGAGCAGAAATTTAGGTTTCCAAGGCTTCAAACGTCATCGGAAAACCGAGTATCACGCCCTTCTCCGCTCGGGAAACACCCGCCAGGGCCGCTCTCAAAGGCGTGCATACTCGTATTATCCCCCGTGGATATTCAATCTCCATCTTCCTGGCAGCATAATTCTCTCCTAGAATATTAATCACTTCTCTCCTGGCCACTCCGACGAGCAAACCTGTAGCAGACTTCAACTTACTCCTTACGGCTGGCCAGCTTACTAACGTTTTCTTCCACGTGATGTAATTCCGCAGGGGAACCGTAACCCTATTGGCCGGGACAGTTAGATCGATATTCCTTGAAGCTTCAAAGGGGCCGAAAAGTGAGCGAAGAACAAATAAATTGCATTATATCCTCCGAATAATAGAGAGTTTGTGCCTAGGAAGGCAGAATGTACATTTTACTCTCAGGCAGGAGATTATTCGGTCATGACTTTGAAACCCCAGAATAGTCTCATCCGCCCGGTCTTCACACAAGAATTCTATCACGAAGTTAAGAGAGCCTGGAGGTTGCGGGTAGGGCAAAATGGAAAGGAAAATGCTCTTCCACGCAATATTGGTATGTGGACTGGTTGTATCCGACTGCTATGTCATCTGGCTTCTAACATACCACCTCAGCCCTTGCAGTTAGCGGTGGGCCGGATTCTATGGCCTTGGCCCATCTCTGTAGAAGGTTAATAGTAGAAGGGCATATTCCAGACCTAAACGTGAAAGCATTTATAGTGGATCATAAAGCTCGAGAAAAAAGCACCGATGAAGCTCTTAAGGTTGCGGGATGGATCAAGTCGATGGGTGAGACCCTTTATTTCGATGACATATCTATTTTAAGCTGCAGCTAACCGAAACACTTTAGGATTAAAATCCCAGGTTCTCACACTGCAATGGCCTGAGGGAACAAAAGATCCAGCAAGATTGCCAAATTTTGAAACGCTCGCAAGGAGACTTCGCTATCAAGCTCTTGGGACTGCATGTGTAACGGAAAACATACGAGCACTATTTCTAGGCCATCACAGAGATGATAACGTTGAAACTGCCTTGCTTCGGTTAGCCCAAGGTCATGGACGCTTTGGTCTTGCTGGATTTGACAGCGTTTCTCCCATTCCTGAGTGCCACAGTCTATGGGGCGTATCACAGAGTGGTGATATTACGAGCATAGAGGCCATCTCCGCTGATCGAACTCCTAGAATGGCGCCGATAAAACCAAATCTAATGAATAATGAGGGTGCTAGAGCACCTTTGCCACAACCGGATTCAAGCCTCTATACTGCAACTGGTGGTGTTTATATATTCCGCCCGTTTCGCTCATTCCCAAAGGCACGACTGGAAGCTACTTGCCGCGTTGCAAGGGTCCCATTTGTGATTGATCCCACCAATGAAGACCATACACTGACCGTCCGAAACACTGTGCGCAAGCTGTTGTCATCAGGGGACTTGCCTCGCGCGTTACAAAGTCCTTCAATACTAGCATTTATCAGCAAGAATCAAAGAGCCAAGGAACGTTTACAGGATCTGACCGACAGTTTTTTAAAACTTGTCCGCGTCATCAACTTTGATTTTAGCTCTGGAACATTGCTCGTTCGGCTACCCTTCGCTGAAGAAGTTGACTTTTTTAAAGAGACCTTTAACGATCCCCATCAAGATCATCCACATATAAATCCTTTTGACGTGCAATTAAAAGTCGTACGCACGTTAATTGAGTTAGTAACCCCAGAATCGGATCTTCAGGTGTCGCAAGAGGGTCTAGTCAGAGCCGCCAAACTGCTCTGGCCTCGATCATCCGAAGACACATCATCTCCCGATGTATTCACGCTCGGCGGCGTTCAATTTCAACCCCAAAAAAGAAAGGGGAAATATGGAGTCTTTCCGCATAGTTTCAAGCGCCGGAGTCAGGACGCTCTCATCGCGTTCCAGAATCTCAGAGGCGTTGCAGACAATCCTACAGACCCAAATATTTGGCTACTCTCGCGAGAGCCCTTACGCCGACATTTACCGCCACCCATCACTAAGTTTGGAATATGTCTTCCCGACCCGGTCCCTGAACAAATTAACAAGGCAGGATGGCAAAGTGTAAACGAAAGCAGGTGGACTCAGTGGAAACTCTGGGATGGTAGATACTGGGTCCGTCTTCGAGCGACTAGACAAAACAAAACGTTCGCTCTCAAAGGGGGTGCGACTCCCAAGGCACACATCTACAGCTTTGGTGACACCATTCAAGTAACAATGAAGCCCATGTCTCAAGAGGACGTCGTTGGAATTCGCCGATCTGAACTTGGTAATCCCTTTTATCAACGTCGGAGTTCATGGAAGCTGACGGATCGAGATTTACGGCCTGAATCGTACCCGGGGGGCCGAAGGCTCGATGCATCCCGATGGAAGAAGAAGGCCTTCGATGTTCTCCTTTCTTGTTTTGCACCGGGCAATCTTCGAAAGACAATTCCAGTGCTCTGGCATTCTACCCCGGAAACCATTCAGCCGGAGGAAGGAAGAAAAGAAGCCCTGTCCATCCCTGCGGGCTCTAATACGCCTCCAGCCTCAGACCCCGAGAAGATAGAGGTTGACAGCCCAGAAGATTCCCCATCTGCTTCTCTACCCCCAACTTCAAAATGCAGCAGAAACGATGTAGCCAAAGCGACTGCCGGCTTTCCCGAAGGAGACGACATAAACGACGAAGGAAGATACGGTAACGGAGAATATGAAGAAGACAAACACTATAACATAAATGACACCCGAAAACTTGTTGCCGTACCATCATTCCATCGCCGCACGGGAAAGAAGATATGGGTACGAATGCCTCGAAAATCTATCCAAGCGCCATCGAATGACCTAACATCGCCCAAAACAGTCGACCAGGAGCAGGACCCAGATGACGAATACATTTGTCCCTGGATCATTGAATGGGATATTATATTCAAACATGTCGATCCAGTCACGATCCGGTGCATGAACTGGGAACGTAAATTATGGAGCTCCTCTCCGTCCACGGAGGAAAGCTATTGATACGGCGCAAGTGGACACTGATAGATAAGACTGCAAAGGTTGTTAAGCAGACACGCGCGTTCCAGCAAAGTTTCATACGGATAATGTGTAAAGTATTGAGATGTGTGTTTTGTATCTATGTACGATACCCCCGGTTCATGAGTACCGAAGATCGATTTTCAAACCTAGCCGTTGCTCCGCGTGTATTTTAATGAGCGGCACGGTATGAATAGATACTGTGTAATCTTTCCGATTAGGGCATTGATAACCTCAACTACGGTCTGCACTTGTGTAAGATATTCTCATGTCAAGAGTTAACAGCTCGCTACTGATGGATGCGCACGCTGCGCGATGCTCCTACCAAAGGCCAGCAGGAGGATTACCATATAGAGTAAAAGATCCTAATCCGAGACGAAGAAAGTTGTATATTTTCGTTAGAATTTGTACATTCACAGGCTAAAAACAAGCACAATGCCTCCCAACCGTATATCCGCTCAAGCCAATGCTGTATCAACACTGTACTTCATAAGCAATGCAAACCACCTTAAAAGTTTTCAAATCGCTGACCACCAAGGCTGGCTTAAAAACAAAAAGAAAAAAAAAAGGAATGAAAACGGCTCCAAGCGATCATCAATGGGCTTATGGTATCATCCACAACAATCCACCCTTCCTATAACGCCAAATTCGCATGTACCCAGCACGAAAGAATAGCCACACCTCCTTTTCAGCCATCATCATCATGCATTTCAACATTAGTCAGTAACAACTTGTTGCGCCTTCAATCCACCAATTTCTCTCTTCAATCGGAAATTTTCTTTCTTTACTCTAGCAAGCTCGTCAAGGCTCTCTTTTAACTGTTCCCTGAGCGCCATCTCCCCAGCTCCATGTCGAACATCTTTGGCAATTCTGCTCAGCTCATCGTTAAAGCGCTGGTATAAAGCTTCATTCTCAGCACTAGCTTCGCGATAGAGTTCATCGAGTTTCTTTGCACGTCTCTCGCTAACGATAAGGGAATTTTCAATATCCTTCTCAAGAGACGCAGTCCTGGAATTAAGGTCCGAAGTGACAGCAGCGACTTTATCGGAAAGACCCCGAACACGGGCAATAAGTGCCGTCGACGGACTCGATGACGTAGGAGAGGATATTGATTTGGAAGTTCCACTGGACGATGTTGGGCGCCCTTTGATAGGAGAAGCTCGTGAATTAGAGATCTCTTGCCCAATGGATGCCAGCTCTGCCTGCAACGTCGATTCAGCTGATGCAACTGTTCTCTTTTCATTTTGGACTCGTTCTCGAAGCTACAGAAAAGGTTAGACAGATCTCCAAAAACGAACCCCAATGTGCGACATACCTTCTGTGGGTTCTGCATCTTCAACTTCTGGACCTTTGGTGTAGACGTGGTGGACAGTGGTATCCGAGATGCTTCAGTTCCATTCGGTGGCAACGATCTTTCCTTAAGACCAGTAACGTTTGAATGGTAGTTTTGCGGCCGAATATCTGTGCGTTTCTTGGGGCTTGTCGATATATTGGTCTTTCTGTTCACGGGTTTATCGCCAAGAGCAGTCCGAGGAGAGGGAGGGGTATTCTCTTTGCGACTTCTTGGGAGGGTTCGCACTGGAGACGTAACGCGAGGAGGAGAGGGAAGCCGGATAGGAGATCGAAGACTTGTCCCATTTCTCTGGCCGGATGATCCCGTTGGGGTAGTCGATGGATCGGATTCTGAATTGTGACTGGCTGGCGTAACGGGTGACTCTACCCGTCTTGTCGCTTTAGGAGACTGAAACAATGGTGTTATATCGCCTGCAGACAGCGGTCTCAGATCCGACAGGGAACTTCTACGTTTCTTTCGAGGAGAAACAGGCTTCTCAACACGATCCTCGCCTATTGAGCTTAGTGTTGCTGCGTTACTATGAGCGCTGCCGGGGCGATATAAGTCGTGATCACTGGAGAAAAAGGTCGGCATAAATGGACGGTCTCGTGAACCGGGGCGCAAGAGTGTATGTAGCCTGGTATCCACGTCCGTTGATTTGGCTCGCATGAGGCCGACCTTTGGTAATGTCGAAGCTGGCGCTTCGGCATCTGCAGCGGACCCAGATCCAGAACCCTTCGACTTACTGAGAGTACGGATAATGGAGCTAACTTTGCTCTCGCTCTCCGTTTTGCTGCGTTCACGGTGAAGCCCGAAACCGAATCTCTTGCGAAACGATGAACTATTGGAATTGATGGAGCCATTATTGACTGACTGTGATCGATCACGCCGATTTGTGGGGTCATTGAGCAAAGTACCCTCCATCGGGGCTATGAAAGGTGCGTTCCCATCAAATAGTCTTTCAAAGTCTTCAACAAGGCGATCTAGAAGAGAAATATACTCCCTAGGGTCCCCTTCCTCAGTCAAGATTTCCGAGAAAACTTCAGTCAATGCACCCCGGTCACCATCGTTGCCTGAAGCATCAAGCAGTTCTGCTAATAACTTAACAAGGCCTGTGAGAGCTCTCCGTGTCTGAGGACTCATTTCTGCTAGGAATCTATGAAAGAAATCCTCAAAATCACCCGGAAACATAGAGTCAAATTGGTTCTGAATGAGCACGAGAGATTGAGCAGGAATAACAGGGCCAATCTTCTCCTTCCAAGCTTTAGCCATAAAGGTCTCAAACGCTACAATGAGCACATCCACGGGGGCTTCGGCAGCGGCCTGAATTTTACCGGCATCATCCAAAAGAACATTATAAAGCTCGTTCACAGCTGCCTGATCAGCTCGATCTCTGGCTCGAAGGACACGACCCACAATATTTCCGCTCCTTGAGCGTATCGCGATAGTATATGCGGTAAACGTTTTCTCCAATTGTTCCAACTGAGTGGCAGTTTCATCTGCAATATTTATTCCTCCATTGGATATTCCACCATCAATAGCCTTCGCTCCTTTCTGAGGGGATGGGGTTGAAGGGAGTTCCTTTTGTGGACTATCGAAATCTGCAACAGAAAAGGTGGGAGGACTAGGTGTTATTTGGGCCGGTGGAAGCAAGCCTTTTTGGGGTAAATGCAACTCCTTTGCTTGGCCACCTCCCCAAAAGCTTGATAGAAGCTTGGATGGAGATCGTGGCCGGAGGCCTTTTGTCACTTTAGCTGAGGCGAGGATATGGTCGGCGATAATGCGGAGTATGCTAAAGTTCGCACTGAGGACTGCATCAGTAAGGAAAGGATTCTGGGGCTGACATAATGGCCGAAGGAGTGTATGAACTATGATAATTAGCCCTATTTCTTAAACATAGATACACCATACACTTACGTCGCTTTGACAGAATTAAAATAAAGTCCTGTGGTGCAAATAGATCCGTGAAAGAAATCCCAACAACAGAATCAAATTCCATCTTGTATTTTCCGCCAGCAGCCATTGACATCACAACGCTCACTTCCACATCGGTATTTGCTGCATCCTTCACCAGATTAGTCTTTGGACCATCGAAATTCAGCCTTACTGTCGATGATGTGCTCGAAGGAAGCGTTTCGTCTGAATTTTCCTCAAATACGGATATCAAAGTTCCCAGGTTCTCGTAAGCCCCGTCAGGATAGTGTAGGGACCATTTTCCGCGTTCGCGATATTGTTCTGGAAATCTTCCCTCAATTCTTGCCTTTGTGATTTCCTCAATCAACCGATGCGCCTTACCCTCGTAGCTCGACATCAATTCAAGGGCGTGAAGCATTAGTTTCGATGGCGATCGCTCATTTCGCAAGATATTTTCAGCCGGAGCAAGATACATGATGTTTCCGCACTTGGACTGGGTGCAACGAACACTACCGATACGACTTGCTTGCAAAAATTTCAGCTCGGGAGTAGAAGCTGCTGGATCCGTTCCATATCCTGGCTGCGGTTTGTCCAGCTCGGCATACAATCCACGGGCGGTGAGTTTGCTTTCCGGAGTTTTGGACATAAGAATCAGAAAATCAGTGTAGACTAGCATAATGCCAGTCTCACCTCGGGATCCTTGAAGTCCGGGACGATATGGCGGGACAAGGGTGAAAAAGTCAACCGCAGTAATTAATCTCCCGGATGGAGAAACCGAGGCGGGCCATCCCGTCACCAAGGCCTGCAGCCGTTTAGAGGTTTGCCCATTGCGTCTCGACGAATCCAAGGAGCAAATTTCGGTTATGATATCGCGTGCGTTCAAGAGCGGTTTGACAGCAGGATGCACAACTGGAAGCGCACCTGTCATTGCATCAATGAGGAGGCTGTATCGCGGTAGACGTTGGACCGGTTCCATAAGTAATGAGCGCATTCTTTGTTCGCCAGATTCATAGACTCTCTTCGAGAATGACGAATTGTGATCATGCAAGAACGTGTTTAAAACCTTTGTGAATCCGGTGTGGGCATTCATGTATTCCCCGTACGGCTGGGAAAATCGCGGGAACCACTCTTGGAGACAACGTGCAAAGGCGATAATCCCCATTGGATCCTTTCTATTTCCGTTAGAGTCTCTAGCCAGTGCCGCCGAATCAAGTACAGTGTCTTTCGTTATGTCTCCAAGAGTATCTTTCTCTGTATCTTCGAGTATTTGGCGTATATCATTCAGGAATCTGAGGTTGACTTCAAGTATGTCATTAAGACAAGTTGGGAATAGTTTCATTAAGTCCTTCTCATCAGGACTGGTGCTAGAAACGGATCTATCCCTAGCCTTCTGGCGAAATTCATGCGCGATGTTGTGAACCAAGTCATACATCTTCCCAACATATCTCTCTTCGGTATCCACCACTTCACACATAGAAAGACGCAAGGTCTCCTTCTGCGCTGCAGAAAAAAGCCTTGACTTGCTCATATTCGTCGGTTGCGACGGTGCACGTTTTAATTTCGAAGTTGGCAGGAAGATCGGATCCCCCAACGCTTCAATAAGAGGAGCATATGCCCCGAAGCGATCAGAGAACTTCTGACACTGCTCAGCATCAGACCCTGCATCGCGTGAAGTGTGCGTGGCCATGTTGACAGTCCCCGGCGGTAAAACAAAGTCGACGTCGATGCACGGAACGATCCTATCCGCAAACGCATCCTTCAGATCCGGTATTACTTGTGCCGCATTTTCCACCTTTGCCATTTTATTCGCCAGATCCGCTGCATGAACCTCGTTGAAGAGATTCGGTAATAGCGTACATTGCTTTCCCGACAGTGTCAGGGCCGTCAGAGCATCCTTCACCACCTCTGGTAACTCGCAAAAGTATTTGAACAGACACACGGCCAGACCACGATATACTTCATCCCCTTGTTTATCGCGGGGTAGGTGATTGACTGCAGCGTAGAGCGGGGCGGCGGGAGATATTGTAATTCGGGGATAGCTATGCACCCCACCGGGAGCGATTATGTGTGCTTGAATGCGCGAGCTGCTCAGCGTCGAATTGGCGGTGGTGGCGGGGCCGTGGAAGATGAAGACGGAAGACAGATAGGGGTCGACGGCGTGGAAGAGGGCGAGCTGCTCCAGCGGAAGCCCCGCGAGGGAGCTGGATAAGGAAGCCATGGCGGAGACGGATCAGGAAAGGCAGAGGGGCCTGTCGTAACTAACAAGCCTGGCAGGTGTTAAAAAAAAAAAAAGGGAAAAAAAAGGGAAAAAGAAAACAAAGCCCAAGCCACTACCGGTCCCCGCGCCTGTCGTTTCGGGATGCCGGGTGGAAACGATGCCTTAACTGCAATCGGCAAAAAACAGCCAGACAGGGCAGGATAGCTAAATGTAGCGAGGGACCGAGGAAGCAAAAAGGCGCGCCTCCTCCGTTTTCGAAAGAGTCCACAGGCACAAATAATTCGACTGCCTGATTTGGGTATGACAAGTAACTAGTTATAGGTATTGTTCGGGGCTTTTCTTTTCGTCGTCAAATCATCCCGCAGATGGCGTGGCGGGCGGTCACTCCTGCCCAACCAATGCGGCAACTGGCTCGAGAAACGCCCAAAGCGAACCCAACTCGTCACCCCCTCCTCGTTTATCCTGGTTAACTCAGGTAACTGGGAAGAAGCTGACCGCTGGGATCGCAGTCGTTGATCTAGATCGGGTGGCTGTTAACGATCCATCGTGACCCCCATCCAATCAAAGGCAACCTGCCAATATCTCTCGACCAAAAAGACTGGAGCACGCTGGGCAAGAGGAAATGGAAATGAATGGGAGAGGCAAGCGCGAATCCGTTCCCGAGGCGCCTATTATTTAACGACAGCGTGGAGAGCCGCTAATTAACCTGATCGACTTGTTGGTGCCGATTTGCCAGCAAGCTCGCCGTGTGATTGGCCGCGCGGGGCGGAGCTACACGTGTACCTGGGAAAACAAACCCCCCATCGAGGAAATCGATAAACAAACCGAATTCGGAGAAACCCCTGCTGTGGATGGAGTCGATCGCACCGGGAACGGGGGGGGTGGGCGCGCCATCAGCCCGGCCAGCCAGCCACAGAGCTGAGCCAATGTTGTGCAGCAAGGGATCGATCTCCCGGCAAGTGCCTCGCAGAGCGGAAGGATGCGAGCTTAACCTTGCGGATGGCTCCGGCCTAGCGAGCGAACCAGCCAGCCAGCCCAATGCTTCGTCAGTTTGTTTCTTTTTAGTTAACCCCCCCAGCTTATCGAGTACGGAGCAGTTATGTTACTCTTTTAGAATTTAATTAAACTAGCACTGGGTATCAGATCGAACACTGCTTCCCGCTTTTTTAAAAAAAAAAAAAAAAAAAAAAAAAAAAAAAGAAAGAAGCCCCGTACCATCAGGGCTCCTTGCGCATATTGACCCCAGCAAATTCTGCTGGGGCTTGCACAGCGTCCTTTTGTCCATCCATGCTCAGGTACATCCTCTGGCCCTTATCTCGGGGCTCGGGCCAAGAACGACGAATTCTTATGCGGTTGACACCGAAGATGTCCATTTGAAATCACCCCTTGCCAAACACTCAAAACACAAAGAATACAGGAAATATGAGAAAAGTTCTCTCTAATGTCCTTTCATTGTTGTCATACACAAAATATCAATCTGTAAATTGCAAGTTGGAAAAGTAGCAACAAATCGCATCCACACTCAGAAAGCCAATGGATCCATTGCCGAGTTCAGCAATCACAAAATCCCACTGGCGTAAAATCAGCAAGGGCATCTTCTTTGATCAAACCGAATAGAAAACGTTTGAATCGAATGAGCCCCAAGATATCGTAGCGGCAATTGGAATAAAAGGCATAAATAACATCCGTGGGGAGCATCAATTGGTAGCAACCGTGCAGCTGCAGAATAGCAATCGCTTGGCAAATCAGACGCATTTATCGTGTCTTGGCGAGACTAGCTTGTTTATTTTTTAAAGCGGCGAGAGAAATGACGTCATAAATCAACGGCGACACTCACACCCAACCCTATGGTAACAGAGCAGCTGTTAGCAAAATGCAGTTTTGAGGCTGCCGAATCTATCCATTTATGAGGATGGAATCGATGGGTGATTGTTACATGCCTTCTCCTTCAATTTGGCGTGGTAAGAAGCATCACGATCCCGTCTTGTGATGTGGCTGTCTCGCGAGCTGGACGTCGAGAAGATGCTGCCTTCTGGCTTCTGAAATCGCGATGGAGGCACTTTAGCGGCGTCTAAGAATCCTAAATTAGCCTCAAATCCAATAGGTGGTGCTTCGATAAAAAAAATGTGGGCTCGCATACCCCACTCCTTGCTCATGCGCCTATCCCGCAGCGGCGACTTTGATTCAGAGGTAGACAAAGGGTCAGAACGCCGAGCATCACCTTGAGTAGGAGATTCGGCCTCGATAACGCCAGAATCCGTGGAAGGAGAGCGTCCAGTGAAAGGATCTCTTAGCTGGGGCGACTCGTGAGTTTGCATGTTTGAGCCTCGCTGATCGTGCATATGCTCTGCTCCAGCTGGCATAATATTTCTGCATTAGCATTTGCTGAGAGGCCGATAAGAAAAAGGCAGAGAAGTGAAGGATATAAATTGAGAACGGGGGGATTTGAAGCTTAAGAAGGGATGTAGCATCCGCACTTACCCCTTTCCCTTCCGTCTGGGCTGGCGGCGTGCCTCGTATTTCCAGACATCAAGCGAGTAGCAGATGGTATGAATGTGGATGAGATACTGGATATCAGAGGTATGTATCCTTTCAGAGCGGGGGTGGAAAATCGAACGAAAAAGAAAGAAGGAAAAGGTTAAGGTGGTGTCTTAAATGCTTGTTTTGTAACTGAGGATCTGATAATGATGACAGAGCAACGATGGCGGGTCGTTTGTTATCTGTCTTTTGAGTCAGAGAGGAGATGATAGGACGAGAAGTGGTCTTATAGTAACGTGTGGAGGGCAAGCTGGCTGAACAACGGACACAGACCGGTCCCCAGCCACAGTCCGGCGGCCCAGACTCGACGGGTCGCCAGCAATAAAAGATTCGTCAGTACGTACTCCGTAGAAATTGTCGCAACTTAGCCTTCATGGATACCCCCTGCCTAAAGACTTGAGGGGTGATTGGCTTTCGAGCTCGCCGATTCATTGGGTCGTGGGCATATATAATCATGGTTGGGCTATGAGACGAGCGTGGTTTAGCCAATGTGGATGACGCTTTAGGTATGGTTATCTTGTTGCGCGTGCGATCAATAAGCAATCCAAACCTTCGCCATGTGGGGTGATGCAAAGAAAGGTAGCTTATTTCCAGAGGAAGTCTGGCATGGACCCTTGCCGCTCCAGATGACGTACACTGTACTTCTGCAGTACAAAATGTCGCAGCTGACCGTCAGCCGAGCCTTTCTTATTTAACGAATAAGAATGCATCACTGCTCAGGAGCAAAAGCTTTTAGGTTATTTTTTCTTTTTTGGGTGAGGAGGAAAGGAAGAGTGTTCAGACATCAAGAAGTACTTGGGGTGGTGAAGATGTGGTGAGACATTAGCTAGTCGGGATTGCTGGCTGTTGCTCATTCGCAAATTTGGAGCAAACCGAAACCGAGATGGGGTGGTTCACGGGATAACAAATTCTCGAAGGTTAGGCGCACAAGATGCTGGCAGATCCTCAGAGTGCAGCTGGGGTCGGACAGAGGTGGTGCCATAGGGCTTGATGCCGAGATAGAGTAGTGGTCCGTGTGGAAGCCGCTTGGCCACCTCCCAACGAGCTAAGACCGTGTAGAGCATCCTTGGCATCCGAGCGAGCCACAGGTTCTGTTGCATGCACGGCCATCTTTCACGCTCTTGAACGGCCTACCTACCTCGGATACACGCACGGCGGCTTGGTCATTTTAAGAGGGTGTTACGTAGGTGCGCATGTGCCCACGTCTGGGAGAGGCTCCCTCCTCCGTATGGGCTGGCGGGGTGGCGCTCGTGCGGGTTGTGGCGGGGGTCCTGGTTACCGGGGCTGGTTGGAAAGCGCAAATCCCTCGCTTTATTAATGTTCCGGCTCCGCTGTCCAGGAATTCGCCACCCAGCCACAGCGTCCATCCCAAACAACCGTCAGCCAAGGTTTAGCCGAGATTCGAGTATCAAATCTGGACTCCGCTCCCCCTTTCTCCAGCGGGGTGCTCAGCAGCACCGCAGACGTAGCCTTCCCTGCCAGCACTCCAGCAGCCATGTCTCGGAGTGAGAGAAAACTACCAAAATCATTTTTCTGTGTTAAGAAGACGAGGATACCGGTTCATTGGTGCCCGCAAAATCTTGTTCTTTCATCTTAACGCTGGTTGGTTGGCTGGGTAGTACGGTAGGCGACTGAAAGGGTAAAACAACACATACAGAATGGAAGTTAGAATTTCTTCATCCAGCGGTTTTAGCTCAGTTGGGAGAGCGCATGACTGAAGTTGAAACTTCGGTGTTTGAATAAATATCATGAGGTCACCCGTTCGATCCGGGTAAACCGCACACAAGGCCCGTTGTTGTTTTTTATTTTCAGGACACTGTAACAAACTGCCTTGTACTTTTAATTTTAACCTTTTTTTTTTTTTTTTTTTTTTTTTTTTTTTCTTGGTGGTGGGGTTGCAAGAAACTCCCCAGCTTCGACACCAGTTCAGGCCGGGATCCATGGAATCCACCACAGCCACAGTACGACACACTGTTTGTCACATGAGCTAACGACCTTGGATCCAGTTCCCATGAGGGTACCTGCAAGTACCTGTGACCGGCCCTCAACCTCCTCTCAAGCACCTACTGTATTCCACCGGCAATGGCTCGGTGTCGAGCCAATTATCACCCGCTCGCTTTTCTACGTTCTGGGCCTTAACTCATGCATCGTCGCCTTCTTGTCCAGATGAGCTTGTTTTCGGGGCCAAGCAGTTGACGTGGGAGGAGTCGATCTTGTAAATAATCCCGCACATACATACATGAACGCCTGACGCACGAGCACTTCGGGCCCAGCCGAAGATAGACACAACCTTGGGCAGAGGAGAGACAACCATAGCCGTTCAACTTCTCCATTGGCTCTTGCGACCCCGAAATATGATGCCTGCTGTGCAACCAGAGAGTTAACTTGGGTTTTCTGCGCGGAAGAAACTCCTCATCAACCATTCAATAACACCTCGTGTGGAATTCCCCTCATGGAACAAACAGCGCCTCCTTACTGAGCGGCGAGCACAGTCATATTCGAACTGGGCATGTAAGAAAGGCATGCGTCTCTGGTTAGTTACCCCTCTATCTTATGAGATAGGTCTCGCTGGAGCCCCTATTGGAGCATGTAATGAGACGGGGGCCGGTGCTCTCAAGAATCCCAATTAGTTTTAGTACCCTGCACCTTAGTAAAAGCTTCAGCCCGTAGCTTCTCATCACTCTGAGTCGACCAAAACTGCATCCAAGGGCACCCCTCACCTGTAGCCTCGGAATAACATCGAGGCCTCTTCGTGTCTTTATTAGCAGTGTGGGCGCACTCATAGCAGTAACGTGGGCCCATTGATCTGGGATGATGCATAGCTAACATTCATTAAAGTTGTCAATGGGGTGTGAGAAGAACTATCACAGATCTCCTCCCAAATCTTCAAATGGGGAAATCAGGATATGTCGGCATGTAAACTGTATACTTTTTAAAGCATAACTTTGTCCTAGGAAGAGACACACCTCAAAGCCACAAGCTCAGGGTGAAAATACACAGGGTGCTGCAGCGCTGAGAGGTATATAGTTAATTAGTCATCAGATGGATTTCAGATGTTAGTTAACTAACTAGTTAACTAGGACGGAAATAGTCCTTATCATAACCCAGCAGGCAGAATTTCAATACGGAAAAATGAAAGCATATACCAGCGACAGCATAATACACCATTCTGATAAAGGGACTCGCTCAGCAGCACAACTCTCTATTTACTCTAGTATATCACAAACACCTTAATTGCAGCTTGTCTATCAAAAGTCATTGCCGCTTGTGGGGCCCAAAGCGCACAAAAGGGATGCATCATATTGATAATAGTATTAGTCCACGTTGTCCCCTTCTTCTAGGGCTTGGTCACCCTTGTCGCTGGATTTCTCATCGCTTGCCCTCTCGGCTGTAGGATGTGGAAGTTGGTCATGCGCTGATGCTGTCGGGGCGGCCTTTTCTTCAAAAGCCGACGGGAATATTTCCTTGAACAAGTCGGGAAGAAACCGATCTAGTCTTCTTTGGGTCTCAATCCATATCTTCTCCTTGGTTGGATCTTCGCTTGGAGGTGATAGGTATCCTCCATCTGCCATGACGAGAAGTATATTCTTCAAGCTCTCAGGGACCGCCTCCTGTAGTTTGACATTCGAATTAGATCCGGTCACCTTCTCTTAATTTCTCAACTAACAACGCGAAATACTTACAAGACTGTCGCCTTGCCCACTATTCATCATGCGGTCCAGGATATCAAGGATGTTCAACCACAAGTCAAGCATACCCTCCCATTCGGACAGCAAGACAAGATAATGCAAGAATACCTTGCACACAAGCGTCGCTGCCTGAACTCGGGTCTCGCTCATGCCGACTGGATCCGATTGGTAGACCTCCGGCTTAAGTAGGCGCAATATTAACGGGAATAGGACTTCGCTGAAAATCGCCACCCATTCCTTATGATCTGTAGACGCAAGTTCCGGAGATAACAACGTTCGTTGCAGGGCAGAAATTGCCTGATGCCTGATATCTCGACAAGGGTTGAGACATTGGGTGGTAAGAGCGTTGAATATTGGGGACCAATATGCAGCCCATGCTAGGGTTATGTCAGCTCAGAGATCTATCAGAGTAGCCCGCGGGTGATTGTTACCTTCGTTTCGTTCTAGATGCGACTGGCTAATGAGCGTTGGTACACGAGCAGTCATGTGGAAGATGATTCCTATCGCTTTTGTGCCCCGGATTACGAAAGGATTATCCCTACTCGAGGAGTACATCAGCATGCCGGTGTAATAGCGATGGACATAACCAGCTGTGGGAGAACGAACTGTATTTTGTTGGACTTTTTGACCGACCGGGACCTTCTCACTGAAGACTCATACCGCAATTCTTGAGAAGCCACAATGCTTCCGGAGTTTGCAAAGTCATTCGCGAGGCCAACTGCTGCCTCATAATTGTCCGCAGTAACCACCGCGGGGTCAGACTCGATAATATTTTGCAAAAGTTCAAATATCATGGCAGCTCCGTCTTGGTGTTGATGTAATCTTTGAAGGATGGACCAAAAGTCTGGGTATTTCGTAATTTCTTTCCAGAGTGGAGCCTCGCTGACAATGCTTGCGAGACCAGTGATTACTGGGACAGCAACGCTTTCAAGGGTATCTTGTTCAAAACTGGATATGGAATGGAGAACAACTGGGGGCCTCATAAAGGAATATTCCTGTGAAACGTTAGTCATGAAGTAAAAAAGGTCAAAGGACACGAATACATACGTAGCTGCGACGCAGAAGAACCAAAAGATAATATATTACGCGAGAAAGCATCAACGGGTGTACATTTTTAGCGTCTCGAATAATGTCTTGCAATGTTCGCATCAGACTCTCCCCCAGTTGCTGTATTGTATCAGCGTCTCGTAACACAAGCAATGTCGCTAACTCGAGTATGTAAACCGTTCCTGGTTTATAGGCGGGCTTCGTAATGTTCGTTTTGCTGGTTGCGGCCCTCGATGAATGAACCTGTGGGCGTTCGGATTTTACAGTAATGACAGCAGGACTCGTATCGGGAAGTTTGGCAAGAAGAGCGCTGACAAGATGAGATTTGGAGGATATGGGAATGGACCTGCTATTACATTAGAAGAGAAGAGCATATTGCCGTCAGAGGTCCGTTTTACCTTATGCTCTCAAGTAGGTCAGAAACCCCGCATGCATTAATGCAGTCAATAGTGCACATTGTGTTCTCAATTTCCTCATCGGACGGCTCAGGGGGGTCATCAGCCGCGTAGCTGGAGAGATAGGACGTAAACGCAGAGAACAAGCCCGCCTCGTTACTACGCCCATCTCGGTCAACAACTTGGGAGGGTGGTTGAAGGGGGATCGGGGGAATATCAAGACCGGAGTCTCGTATATCGAGTTGAGGGATGAGAGAGTTTATGAATAAATGATGAAGGATCCTGACGACATATCCCCATCCGTTCTGGATAGCCGCTTCGCTGCCTGAGATCACGCGGAACAAAACAACTGTAGCAAGTTGTGCTCTGAAGTCTCTTCCTAGCTTCACCGCGAGCTCGCTCACCATAACCGTTTTCTTCCCTATTTGCACCTCTGTATTGAGAGAAGTGTTGGGGGGGGCCTCCAAGGCGAGAGTGCTAATGGAGCTAAGACAGAATATTATGCGGTCAAGCGCCTCTGTTACCCCATATTTCGCGGCAATCTTCGCGCATTGGTCAAATCCAATGACAACTCTGGAGAACACCGCATCATCCGATGCAGACATGAAGACGTAAGAGAGAGTAGCTACCACAGGACGCCAAGTCGCCTCGAACATCTCGGCATCAAATATGTTAGAATCGCATCGTATTAAGTCACCAGCGGTGGTTGCCTTTATCAGCAATTCCTTCCACGCATACTCGAACGCATGCTTGTTTTCGTGCTCATCAGGCAAGATAATTTCATTTTGTTGAATTGAGCGATAAATTCCTTCCAGATACTCAGCTGGAAAGTCGCGGCCAGCGTTCACTCCTCCAAGATTTTTAGTGAAACCTTCTAACGTCATGCGATTTTGGGGCTTTACGTTGGGGTTATGTAGGTCGGTGTTTAACATTATAATGGCGTACGTCAAAACAAAAAGAGAATCCGAGTCAGCGGCTTCTTTGGGCTTGCCTCCAGCAAGATATTTTTCAGCGAATACGGTGACAATCCGTTGGATTAAAGGAGACTCTCCCGGAAGCCGAAAAGAACCCAGAACGTGTCGAAGGGCATCCACAATACCGACGCCTTCGAAATCGAACAGCTCCATGAATGCCTCCAGAATCTTCTCATTGTTGCGGTTGGAAATGTATTCCCCCAGCGTTTTTTTGGAAATACGACTCGTACCCTTGAGGAATCTTGCGATTAGCTTTGGATTTTCGATATCCTCAATGATCCCTTTCGAAGCAAAAAAAGCAATTCCAGCTTTAGGGTCTTCGTTAAATTTCGTGGCTCCTTGAATTATAATTGCCTTTCGCTGTCGCTGCTCTTTTAATCGCGAGAGGTCAGGGAGTCCTTCGTATTTTGGTTCGTCATCAAGCCTATCGGCAATAAATTGGACATAACCTAGTAGAGCATCGAGGCAAAGTGGTGGAACATTAGTTGTGCTCCACGTCGCGGAGTCGGGAAATGCATTTCGAGATAATAGCCCAATCATGTCCTCGCAAAGATCACCTCGGTCGACTTCACAATCGTAATTGACGAAAAGCTCTGTCATGAAGTTGGGAATTCGTGCCAAAGCCCCTATGCTCTCTACCATAGCCTCTCTGGACTCAGGTCTTCGAGATCCACCT